GTTGCCATCCCCCGTAGTGTTATATAAGAATATTGGAGAAAGTTTAGGGGAAATCACTCCTGGTTTATTTTTAATTACTCTCTACAGCGTTGTAAAGCTAAAGATTTCAATGGACACAGTTTTGTCGCGATAAAATAGGACTTAAAGCAAACAACAAAAATAGGTTAAAGGTTAAAGTACACAATTCTTATTTTTTCTTAATGAAAGCAATGATCAGATACATACATAGACATGATCTTCTTCTCACATGTCACAATATTTTCTTTCAATTTCACATCCTCGCAGACTAACATTGTAGATTCATAGACTTGCATCCTCTGTTGCAACTTCATCATCCATAAATGACGTTTTTAACGCTTTTTACCTCCCCCCCCCCCTCTCCTCCGTCACACGTCGTCGCAAAAAGCCAGACCCCCCCCCCCCCTAAAGTGACGTCAAACCTCAGCCTACAACCCCTCCCCCCACCCCCTCTAAATTGCTGATTCATTTTTCTTAAAACATCGATATTTTTCCAAAATCTTGTCAGAATCTTGTCAACAAGATTTATCACTAGTATTTTGATCAATTCCTATTACAATTTATTAAAACCGTTTTCTAAAACGCGAAATAACAGTTAAAACTCGTGTTCTAACATTAATTTTTTATGATGCAAAAAAGTGACGTCACACCATCTGAACCCCCCCCCCCCCCCCCCACTCCCCCTCATCACACACCGTCACAAAATTACGAAACCCCTCCTCCCCTACAAGCGTGACGTCAATTATGGACGACCCCTCAGTCTGGACAATAAAGCGTTAAATACAGTTTATCTTTTTACTTTTATGCGTGGTAAATTCTAAGATCGATTTTATTTTTTATTTATGGGCGTGCCTCGTGTCAGGCGGTGGAGACAGCGAACGCAGCCACGTGTCATGGAGATTGTTACACGTAGACAGCTTCGGTTTAGCAAATTGCACAAGACGTAACAATAAGTTAAAATGTGTTACATTTGAGTGGCTAACCATAGCATAGGAAAGTAGACCTCCCCCACCCGAAAATTTCAAGTGCAGTCTCGGAGAAAGAAGTCATGAAGAATCACTGCACACAAGTCATGGTCCTTTGGTTTTTCATATAGGGCCTGACCTAGACGGCTATATATATATATATATATATATATATATATATATATATATATATATATATATATATATATATATATATATATATATATATATATATATATATATATATATATATATATATATATATATATATATATATATATATATATATATATATATATATATATAGGGGGCACAAAGTTAAAAGTTCGCCCCGGGGTCGCTACTCCTGTGCTTTAATCACGTATTTTACAAATATACCATGAAGCTTATTACCTGATTGTAACGCAGCCATATTGTGTTAAGTCTTGCTTACACATATGCTGCTTGCACATGCATGCGGGTAATATGCAAGAACATAATTTGTTTACTAATCCTACTAGGAAACATAGCCTACATGTTCATCGAAACTTGAATTAGTGGATACTAAAAAATATTGTACTGCTATAATTGGAAATAATTGTTTTAAACATACCTTACCTTACCTTACCTTACCTTACCTTACCTTACCTTACCTTACCTTACCTTACCTTACCTTACCTTACCTTACCTTACCTTACCTTACCTTACCTTACCTTACCTTACCTTACCTTACCTTACCTTACCTTACCTTACCTTACCTTACCTTACCTTACCTTACCTTACCTTACCTTACCTTACCTTACCTTACCTTACCTTACCTTACCTTACCTTACCTTACCTTACCTTACCTTACCTTACCTTACCTTACCTTACCTTACCTTACCTTACCTTACCTTACCTTACCTTACCTTACCTTACCTTACCTCACCTCACCTCACCTCACCTCACCTCACCTCACCTCAACTCACCTTACCTTACCTTACCTTACCGTACCGTACCGTACCTTACCGTATAATGTATCCTATTCTATCTTAAATTATCGTTTCGTATTCTATCCTATCCTATAGTATCCTATCCTATCTTTTCCTATCTCATTCCATTGTATCCTACCCTGTCTTGTCCTATCAATTTAAAGGCATGTCATTTTAGAGCACAATCATCTTTGCATACATTAACATTCATACGGAATGATTCATTGATTACAGTGCGAGATAGACGATTATCGATTCTCTGTAACGGTATTTCATTTTAAAATGCAACAGCTGCGTTTTATTAATCAAGTCAGGTACGAAACAATTCTTATCTCTTCAGTGTTCAGCTACACTCAATATAAATTATAATATGCTATGTTGTTTCTTTTCATTTAGAGCAGGGGTCTCCAAACTACGGCCCGCGGGCCGGATGCGGCCCGCGAAGTCCTCTCATCCGGCCCGCGGAGATCTTTTTATCCAAGGAAAAAACGATTGTTGGTGATGGCTGAGGAGCTTTGCCCAGAAAAATCAAAGACATGCCTGGAAGAAACTGGCCCCCGATCTGAAATTTGATAGTTAATGCGGCCCTCGGAATGAAAAATTTGGAGACTCCTGATGTAGAGGAAGTATTGCAAACTTAATTTGGCAACATAGTTGTGTTTGTGTGTGTGTGTGTGTGTGTGTCTGTGTGTCTGTGAATACGATAACTTGATTACCGTTCACACTAGGTTAATGAAATTTCATTTATATGTATTATATCAAATTTGTAGTTCGATGTTAATCTTTCAGCAATCTCCGTAAACCGAAAATTTCGATATATGTAGAATATCTAAGTCTCTTTTTGATGAATTTTGAGTGAATTACAATGACCGGAAGTAGTAATTTTCCCTATTTCCGATTTCTCAAAAAATAACGCGATTTTATTTTTAACTTAATTCCTCTCTCTTATACACAGATCAATTGCTGTTCAGTTGGTGCGCAATTCTTCGTTCTACGAGATTTGTACGATTGCAGACTGGCGGGGGGAGGGGGGGGGGAAGATCGGGTCATTGTGGACGTCCACACATTGAATTTATTAACAACAAAATACTTATATTTTTAAAAATTGCACATTAAATGTAGGTTATACATTAAATCGGCAGCTGTCGTGTTGGTTCAGAATTGTCCAGCACAACGGGTATCACACATGTAAATGTATACAGCCCGCCCTAGATAAAAGCAGGAGGTTTCGTTGTTGTGTTTTTGGAGGGGGGGGGGCGGCTGTGACCGCGAAAATTATCTAAAACATTTTAAGGTATTTGAAGTCTGTTTTCAAACATGTTAAACAATTGAAGCATAAGTTTGAAAACAAACAGTTCTAGACTCCGATCGTGTAACTAAAGCATAGTCTAAATCATTAGTTTGCGTCAAAGCCTAACATGACGCGGATCTAGACTTTTTTACATGTAAAAACACCGCAAAAAAACACGTTACATTTAGATATTTAAATAACAGCGTGGGTAAATATGCTCTCCTTAGTGAGGCGTGTAGGGCTCACGGTCAGCGCGACTTCGACGAAGGACGGTTGAAGAGGTGGTTTGTTATAAAAACACGTGTACCATAAAGTTGAGTAAATGTAATATAATGACGTCACGTGATTAGCCGAATTTACCCTTAACCCACATAATCATTTATAGATAGCCACAAATATTTAAAATTTTTGGTATACAGCATCTTTAATTTAAAAATATTGTTTACCAGCCGACCCGCGGCGTACCATACGCCACTGTTTTGTTGTTTTATTTTCAACTTTTCAGTAATTCATAATTTGTAAATTCGACGCTACCAATACAGCGACTGAAAATATTTGTTTTAAAATACTATCGGTAGCTCGTGAAGGACTATAGCCCCCCTCCCTTTACCCCCCCCCCCCCTCTTCCGTAAAAGCAGCCTCCACTTAGTTACCTCCCGTAAGTTTCAAATCCTTTTGCAGGATGTTTTGAGAGGTAGGCATTTTTTGTGGACGTCTACATGTGGGGAGTGTGTGTGTGTGTGGAGGGGGGGGGGGGTAAATGGATCAAACCGAATATGCCGTCAAGTTCATTAGCCAAATTTTAATAGCTAGGCAGCCACACATGATATCAAATAGTTCGGCCCACAGCACCTACTAGCCCAACCTCTTTAATAAAAATTATTTTATGACTGCCTCCAACCTCTGACTACCTATATGAAAAATAGTGTGTAAAGTCGAGAGGTACACAGCGTCCATGCGCGATCACTACAATTTTTCTCAATACCCTTTGACGATACCAAAACCATTCCAGCTCTCTATTGCTTTTAACGCTTCTTAGATCTGCTAGTCCATTTAAAGGACATGTAGATCTTTATTTTTATTTATCAATCAAGTAGGTTTTTGTTTGTTATAGCCGAGCGGGATAAAATTTGTTCCAATTAAAATTTATGACATCGTAAAGCGATTTTATCTCTTTTATCTGTTTTGTTTTGCACCAATTATTAAAATTTGGACCGAGGCGCGTTTACAGATATTATGCATTCATGAGGAGTAGTTGTGGTGGTTAGGGGGTGGGGGTGGTGGAAGGAACCATTATCAAGGCAAATCTAACACAATTCGAAAAACTTTTAGTGGATGGTATAACATATTCTAAATTTATATCTTTTTTTCACATATTAGTGTACCCAAGAAACAAATTTATCATATTGTTTAAATGTCATTTCTATTAGCTTTCAGTATTTGTGAGTGTGCATTGAGCAATTCATGGAGTGTATGCGTGGACATTTTTACCGATTATTGCCGTGGTACACTTTACTATGACCTTTTTTCAACTTTCCTATGCTATGCTTAGCCACTCAAATGTAATACATATAACTTATTGTTACATCTTGAAGAGTTTACTAAACTTGAGCTGTCTACGTGTACCAATCTCCATGTCACGTGGCTGCGTTTGCTGTCTCCAACGCCTGACGCGAGGCACGTCCATCAACGTTAACCAATAATATCGATCCTAGAGTTTGCCACGTATAACATCAGTAAATAAAAAAACTATATTTAGAGCTTGATGGTCTGGCCTTAGGGTCTCAGTGATCAAGTTGCAACACAGGGCGCAAGTCTACGAATCTACTATACTAGTCTGCTGTATGAGAAAGTTAAAAAAAAAGTTAAATGTGAGTACAAGATCATGTTTATGTATGTTTGCTGATAATTGCTTTTAGTAAGAAAAATTAAGAATGGTGTGGGTATTTTACAAGGGATAAATGGCCCGTTGAGATACAACGGGCGCTAGGTTGATAGTATTGTCAATTTTCTCTAAACCAATACCAAAACTAAAATCACCACCTTAACTTCAAATTGAACAGGAAACGAAAAATGTAATTGAAAACGGATTTTTATCCAGAATCGGCATTTTAATCGGATTTAAGCTTGATCTACACGTATACTGCATTTTGTTAACTAAATATAGTCGCTGCCATACCCCTAAACCTTGCACCTAACAAGTGACTCTACGCGGGGGGAGGGTACGGGCGGGTGTAGGGGGTGGGTTGTAGCTCCGCCCCGCTGCATGACAGCCCCCTCCCCGAACCCCACCCACCCCGAGTTACGTCTACCGTCCGCTTCAACGAAATATAATTTATATAGAAAACATACTTTAACCAGTGTCCACCTCCGCCAAAGAAAATTTGCCCACCATCGGGGAGGAAACTGTCTGAAAGAAACAATGATCTCATTATTAGCGTGCGGCGTCAATTCGGCCAATGACGAAACGGCCCCGTCAAAACGACCCCGACAAAACGACCCCGTCAAATCGGCCCCGTCAAAAGGGCCAGCGACATATGGACCCCGTCATATAGGCTCCCGACAAATAGGCTCCCGCCATGTAAACTACCGACAAATAGGCTCCCGTTATATAGGCTCCCGATAAAAGGGCTCCAGTCAATAAGGCTCCCGACAAATAGGCTCCCGTCATTTTGGCTCCCGACATATAGGCTCCCGTCATTTAGATTTTTCCCACAAAACGGCCCCCGCGACTCCCGACAAATAGGCTCCCGCCATTTAGTTCCTCCACAAAACGGCCCCTGTCATTACGACTCCCGACAAATACGCTAGCGTCATTTTGGCTCATGACAAAAAGGCTCCTATCAATTTGGCTCCAGACAAAAGGACCACTGACAATACCGTTTCTGTAGAGACTAAGTCGCCCGGCAAAGCGGTCTCATTGAATATGACACCTGCCAGTGGAACCCCTTCATCAACATTCTTTAGAGTTAGCTTATCCAACAGTCTTATGTAATACAACCAGGGGCGGAACTACAGTGTCGCCAGACCCTGCAATGCGGGGGGGGGGGGGGGGCAAGCCCTTTAGGGGCCCACAGCCGACCATATTTTTAAAAATATATAGTTAAAAAATATAATTTTCTTGCATTTTTAACTTGATGGTTGTTATTTAAAAAGATTACTATAGCTGCGATTGGATTATCTTTTTTTTCTAAAGACACCACCCCGCGCTCTTGTATTCTTTTTCCCTTTGTTTTTAAACCATTGTGAAAGCCGAGTCCTCTTTCTCCTACAATCAAACTTATCAAAGATAAGTAAACGTGCAAACCACTTCCATGACTTATTTCCCTTTTTAAAATAGTCAAATAGGGGTGTCCATAAGCTCATTTAAATAGATTTGCACTAAACAAATTAAAAAATATTTACTTCTCTTAATAATTATTTTTTATAAAGTACTTACTAAAGAATGACATTGTACAAAAAGGAAATGCATTTAAAATTAATAATATAAATACAAAAAAACATAAAAATAAACATAAAACGAGACACCATAACTAATACAAAGCTTTTATGTTTTATATACTTTTGAACAAATAGTGATCAAGATATCCGATAGCAGAGATAAAATAAACTAGAAATTCAATACAGACTATTGCACTTACACCAGGGGTCGGCAACCAGCGGCTCGCGAGCCGCATGCGGCTCTTTTGATATCAAGATGCGGCTCTCCAGCTCCTTGAACAAATACTAATATTCTTAATAAAAAAATTAAATATTTGAAATAAAAAAATGTTAGTGGCTCTTTAAAACCAGGGAAATTTTGAACATTGTAACTTTTGGCTCTTCCGCTTCAAAAGGTTGCCGACCCCTGACTTACACACATGACAGGTTGTAATTTGCTTAAATTGAAAAAAAAACAATTATGTTTTTCAAAACCCGAACAGCCCAGCCGTGAGAATCCTATGTTCTTATTGTTTGTTTGTATATATATATATATATATATATATATATATATATATATATATATATATATATATATATATATATATATATATATATATATATATATATATATATATAGAGAGAGAGAGAGAGAGAGAGAGAGAGAGAGAGAGAGAGAGATAGATATAGATATCGATATGAAGTTATGAAGTTGTAGATGTAGATGTAGATGTAGATGTAGATGTAGATGTAGATGTAGATGTAGATGTAGATGTAGATGTAGGTGTAGGTGTAGGTGTAGGTGTAGGTGTAGGTGTAGGTGTAGGTGTAGGTGTAGGTGTAGGTGTAGGTGTAGGTGTAGGTGTAGGTGTAGGTGTAGGTGTAGGTGTAGGTGTAGGTGTAGGTGTAGGTGTAGGTGTAGGTGTAGGTGTAGGTGTAGGTGTAGGTGTAGGTGTAGGTGTAGGTGTAGGTGTAGGTGTAGATGTAGATGTAGATGTAGATGTAGATGTAGATGTAGATGTAGATGTAGGTGTAGGTGTAGGTGTAAGTGTAAGTGTAGGTGTAGGTGTAGGTGTAGGTGTAGGTGTAGGTGTAGGTGTAGGTGTAGGTGTAGGTGTAGGTGTAGGTGTAGGTGTAGGTGTAGGTGTAGGTGTAGGTGTAGGTGTAGGTGTAGGTGTAGGTGTAGGTGTAGGTGTAGGTGTAGGTGTAGGTGTAGGTGTAGGTGTAGGTGTAGGTGTAGGTGTAGGTGTAGGTGTAGGTGTAGGTGTAGGTGTAGGTGTAGGTGTAGGTGTAGGTGTAGGTGTAGGTGTAGGTGTAGGTGTAGGTGTAGGTGTAGGTGTAGGTGTAGGTGTAGGTGTAGGTGTAGGTGTAGGTGTAGGTGTAGGTGTAGGTGTAGGTGTAGGTGTAGGTGTAGGTGTAGGTGTAGGTGTAGGTGTAGGTGTAGGTGTAGGTGTAGGTGTAGGTGTAGGTGTAGATGTAGATGTAGATGTAGATGTAGATGTAGATGTAGATGTAGATGTAGATGTAGATGTAGATGTAGATGTAGATGTAGATGTAGATGTAGATGTAGATGTAGATGTAGATGTAGATGTAGATGTAGATGTAGATGTAGATGTAGATGTAGATGTAGATGTAGATGTAGATGTAGATGTAGATGTAGATGTAGATGTAGATGTAGATGTAGATGTAGATGTAGATGTAGATGTAGATGTAGATGTAGATGTAGATGTAGATGTAGATGTAGATGTAGATGTAGATGTAGATGTAGATGTAGATGTAGATGTAGATGTAGATGTAGATGTAGATGTAGATGTAGATGTAGATGTAGATGTAGATATGGATATAGATATAGATATAAACAGGGGCGTAGCGAGGGGGGTGCGGGTGGTGTGGACCGCACTGGGTGACACCATTTAGGGGGGGGGGGGTGAAACCAAGGCAAAAAATAGCAAAATATATATATAGAAAAATGATAATTCCAATTAATAGAGGGATTAATTAGAGTGTTAAATAGCCTTTTAAGAGGTGGGGGGTGCAAATCGAAAGTTTGAGGGGGGGGGGGTGCAAATCGAAGGTTTGAGGGGGGGGGGGTGCAAATCGAAGGTTTGAGGGGGTGGGGTGCAAATCGAAAATTGAAAGTTTGTCCCCGGGAAGGGTCGTTGCGCCTCTGGGGGGTGACACCCGACCTCGCTACGCCACTGGATATAGATATCGATATAGATATAGATAAAAATATTTTTGCGCGGTGGCCCATTTTTTTCTAGTTCCGCCATTGAATACAACGTATGCATCTCTTGTTCGGCAGGCCTTATTTTTATATTAGTTTATCTATTATAAAATATAGCATGTTTTAATTTAAGGGTCATCTATCTATGACATCCATAATTGAGTCGATAGGCTGTTCCAACTCAGTGTGTGGGGAGAAGGGTCCACGCTATACTTTCCTACCTGCAGTATGCTTGTAGGTTATCAAAACAAGATGCTGTTATCATGTAAACATCATGTATATCATACATTTACACTTCTGTGCTCGCTTTTCAGCAACAAATATAGATATCTTTTCTGTTGTAAATTAAACATTATCAAAACTTTAGAATTGGTGGAATTTAGCTGTTAAGGGCTCGATTTGTTTGTGAATTAATGTTGGTTCATGAAAAACAATTTCGTTCGGGCATTCAAAAGAACTATAGTGGTATTGGAGGTAGGACAAAATGGTTACTTTTATGCCAATAATGGTCATTCATTGGTCTGGAGCCAATATGTCGGGAGTCATTTTGTCAAAAGCCAATATGTCGGAGGCCCAATAGCCTGGAGCTAATATGTCGGGAGCCCATTTGTCGGTAGCCAATATGTCGTGAGCCCATTTGTCGGGAGCCCATTTATCTTGAGTCCTTATGTCGGGAGCCAATATGTCGGGAGCCGCTTTGTCGGGAGCCAATATGTCCTGAGTCTATTTGTCAGGGGCTAATATGTCGGGAGTCCATTTGTCGGGAGCCTAAATGTCGGGAGCCCATTTGTCGGGAGCCTATATGTCGCAAGTCAATATGACGGGAGCCCATTTGACGGGAGCCAATAAGTCGGGGCCCTTTTGACGGGGTTGTTTTGACGGGGCCGATTTGTCCCAGGTCATTTTGACAGGGCACCCATTATTAGATTACACAGATTAAAGGTAGACCCTACTTCCATAAGAAAGACCCGTTTCCTACATTTGGTCGCTAAATCTCAATCATGGAGATAGTGTTTCTTTCAGACTTTTTTTCTCAGAGTATTTTAAACAACAACAAGCATACAAATAAAATAAATTAAAACAAACAACTTATAAGTTAAAATTAAAAAAAAAAAATTTAAAAAATTAAAAAATTAAAAATACAAATAAAAATGAAAATTTAAATTTAAAAAATTTAAAAAATCAAAACATTTTTAAAAAAATTTTAAAAATTTAAAAAATTAAAAATCAAATTTAAATTAAAAAATATTAAAACTAAACTAAATAAATAAATAAATAAATTAAAAATTAAAAATTAAAAATAAATAAACAAATTACGTAAACAGGTCACCGATGGTTATTACGTCACAAGGTCACCCCCTCACCTGACCTACTGACCTGCTGACCTACTTCCGCTGCGCCTGCGCCACTTTCTCCTCCACCCCCTGCGCCAACGCCAGGTGGCGTAGTATTTTACTATATATCCTTAGCGCCTCCTGCTCCTGGTCCCCCAGAAATGATAACCAAAAGGGACCTTATATACTAGTTATATGATGTCACGTTTCGTTTTCCATATTGTCTCTTGTTGTACCCCCCACCCACTCTATGTGGGTGGGGCGGAAGGGGTGGCTCATAATCATTCGAAATAATAATAGCTCCCACCCCGCCACCCCCTCCCCTAGTAGAGTCGCCTAAAATAAATTCTAAATGCGAATTTTGTCATGTTTGAAATTAAATGCAAGGTTTAGGGGTAAAGCAACGACTATTTTTAGTATCAATGTGCAGTAACTACGTGTAGGTACAAAAAATGTTGATTCTGGATAAAAATCTGTTTTAAATGACATTTTTCGTTTCCGGTTAAATTTGAGGTTGAGGTGGTGAATTTGGTTTTGGTATCGGTTTAGAGAAAAAGACAACACTATCTACGTAGCTCGTTATATATCTCCCTAATCAGGCCATTTATCTACTTCTTTTAAATTTGACCATATATATCAATGAAATTTTGTTTGTATTCAATTTTCGTTTCTGATTAAATATCGGATTAAATTACCGAATCCAGTTAAATCTCCGATTCTAGATAAAAAAAATATTTTTAATGAAATTTCGTTTTCGTTTGAATTGCCAATTCCTTCTAAATTTCCGGGTCTAGTTAAATGCCGATTTAGGATAAACTCCCTGGTTTAATATGTTTTCCGGCTTAACTTTCCTTTAAGGGTTAAAGTTCTGTATTTGGTTAAATTTCCAGATCCGTTAAAAAAGGCCGGTACTTGATAAAGTTCTAGCTTTTGATTTCTGTTAAATTTCCGGTTTTTTAAATTTCCGGTTAAGGTTAAGGGTTTAGCTTAATGTTTCTGGTTACTCAAAAGTCAAACATATTCCATATTTTTATTGTGAAGCCTTCGGTGACCCTTGTGAGCCGAAACTGAAATTTGCTTTAGCAGAAACATTCCCGAGAGTATTCTCATCAACACCTTAAAGTTTCATGGCGATCAGTTGAAAGGCGTAGCAACACATACAGTATACACAGATACACTTCCATTTTTAAATATATAAAATTATAAATCGATACTGTTGTTAATACGCATTCAAACGTAGAAACCTTATGAAATAGTGTCTTTTCTAGTGTTATATGCTGCAATATTCATTGATGAAAACTGATATAGTAGGAGCTGCACCCCCCCCCCCCCCCCGCTTTCAATACTCCTCTCTTAGCGTATTACTGGTGAGCTGGCAAAGTGTAACTATCTTAAATAAAACGTGGTTGCGTGAGCTCTCTTTAACGTTGTACGCGTGCCACGTCCTTCAATGTGAATCACGATCGATCTTTGATATTGCCACTTAGAACATCAGTAAAGAGAAGAAAAATATTTAAACGTTTGGTCTAGACTTCGGGTATAACAAATCACGTTTTAACTTAGGGCGCAAGTCTACGAATTCACAACAATACATAATTTCACATGAATATTGTTGCAAATATGAGAGAAAAGAATAATACCGTGCTACATTAAACAATATAGCATACATGATTCAAGTCTAGATGACCTGATTTTAAATTAAATTTATCAAAATAATAATTAACTTTTATTTAAGATATCCTTTGATTTTCCAGTTGTTTTTTTTTTAAATTAAGATCTAAAAACAAAAACAAAATGTTTGATTGGAAGTACTGCACAGCATTCATTGTCTTGCTGCTTGCTGTCGTAGACTGCGTGAACGACGTGAAATACCAATATGACGAGGATAGAATCTACAAGAGACCAAGTAATGATTTAAAACATCTTAGTTTATGAATGTTAATCCTCGATTTGATGCTCGACACTGTATATCGTCCCAATAGAATCTTAGGCGTTTGAAAGCTAGTTGTCAGTGTTCTAGAAATGCTTGATTCTTAATCATATAAAGATTGCCTGGCCTGTGAGCAAAAGACGAGTTGGTGAAAAAAGGAAGTAAGAAAGAGAGAGAAAGGGAGAGAGAGGAAGAGAGAGAAAGAGAACTATTACAATTGTTTTTATGATTTAATTTGAAAAAAAATTATTTTACTAAGTTAAATTATTACTATTTTGCATCATATTAATATTGATTATTATTTAAAGGCTAATTAAATATTGTTAATGGTTTTAAATTTAATCTGAACTCTAGACACGTGTGAATCTAGCTCTGTAAAATGCCGATCTTGCATACCACAAAACAAAATATGTGATGGCACTATTGACTGTTCTGATAAATCTGATGAAATTAATTGTAGTAAGTGCGACATGTAATTAGTCATTAAACTTTGTTAAGAATCTAAACATAAATAAAACTCGAATGAGACATTTGAGTGGAAAATGGACTTTTAATACAAAAATATGTATGTCTACTAGTTATAGCAGTGCTTTAGAGTATTCAGATAAAATAAAGATTAGAAATCTAGGTAATACTTTTTCTGACATTAAATATGTCATGTCTCTTTTATAGTCCAATGATTTTAATATGTGTTTCTATAAGGTTATTGTTTATTCTGTGTTATTTATCTTATCTGAAAAGCTGATTTTTTTCCATGGGTAATGAAAGTGTGGGAATTAAAGAGAGGGGTGGGGGGGGGGGGTGAAGCAATCAATCAACGGTTGGGGTTAAAGCCATTCCGAAACTCAATTGCTCAATTACTTTAGAAGGCACAATAAGTATAAACATTATTACATTTTCTGATATAAACAAACTTTATAGTAATTACTATCTGATTGATTCATTCAACAGCCAGTTGTAATGGGAGCAGCTTCAACTGTGGAAATGGACAATGCGTCCCTTCGAAAACTAGATGTAACGGCTTTTTAAACTGTTCTAACGGAGAGGATGAAAAGAATTGTAGTAAGTGTGACCTGATATTTCCCTTGATTGTAAGGAGAATGTTATGAGTGGTCTATTAATATTCTACATTAAATTGAGAGCTGTTGAAAATATTCATTATATTTTTTTTAAAATCATTTATAAGCAGCTAAATTAAATCATCCTTCAATATCCATGTTTTAAAGCAATGTTATTTTACATTCGCATGTTTTATTTATAATATAAAATGTTAAAATGTCAAGAATATTTGTGTTTGATTTTAATAGTTTATGATAGTGACTATTCAAATCACGCTATTTCTATTTGAAAGTAACACGTTAAAAGAATATTAAAATACTGTTTTGTTTGATTTTAATCGAATCGGAATGTATGTCTAAAAGTCAGCTAAATAAAGTCAATACACTATCTGTATACAAATTTATTTTAATTAAAAAAAGATCAGTTAATTATACATATAAATCTTTTTAAAATAAGACATTAAATAAAAATTTCAAACCCTAATGCTGATTTATATTAATAACTACTATATAAATGACCATCGCTGAGGTAACTAATTATTTTTTTCATAAGTCTAGGCTAAATTAAAAACAAATTAAACAATGTGGTTTTGTTTATTTCCAAAAAACGGAATCGTGTAATAAAGGCGCTGTTTATTGTGTAAATGGATTCTGCATTAATGGAATAAATGTTTGTGACGGCGTTAAAAACTGTAGGGACGGATACGACGAACACAATTGTTGTAAGTGCGATATAGAAAAAAAAAAGTCTGAGAGAAACACTATCTTCATGATTGAGGTTCAACGGCCAAAAGTATTATGTTCTAAGTTAAAGAAGTAGCGTCTCCTATTAGTCTGTCTGTATAATCTACAAAGAGGGGTGGGGGCTCTGTGTGAAGGAAATCGTTTGAAATTATCAAGGGTCGATATATATATATGTATATATATATATATATATATATATATATATATATATATATATATATATATATATAGCAATGTATATGTGTGTGTGAGTGCCTGTCTCTCTGACCTACAGTTATTCATTACTAAAACTTTCATCACATCGCCATGAAACTTTGGGAAGTTGATGAGAATGATCCTGGTGAAAACTCTTTAACAAAGATTCAAAATTTGCAATGATGGCTCTCCTGCAGGGAGCGTTTTGCTTTTCTCTATACAAGCGATATAAAAATAAAAGTCGATTGTGGTTTCACACTGTTCAACCGATCGCCATCAAACTTTAGGGAATTAATTATAACGCTCTAGGGAAGTGTTTAAAAAAATTAATTTCGAAAGAGCGGCGCCCCTGGAAGGTGCGATTTGTCACTATATACTTTAATTGTAAACCAATATGAAAGTCAGATGTAGTTCGACACCGTTCTTACGTTTACCATGAAACTTGGGAGCTGATGAAATCAGGCTACTACTGAGAAGGTTTTTGTGAACAAAACAAAATATAATTTGATATGGGCGGCGCCCGGGAGGGTGCGATTTTCGTCAATCCACAAGTTGGCACCTAGAATTCCAGAGTCGCTATGTTAGCAAGTGGCAACCGTTAAACGTACGTCCTGCATAATTGGTAAAGCTTACTACTTCATTCAGCGTTAAAACTTCAATAGGCACAACCGCCGGTGCCCCTTAGACACGATGGAAAACAATAATCGTTGACTTTATCGAACCAGGCGCGTCCCCCGGCGCCCCTTCAGGGTTCGATTTGGCGCCCTTGGTTTTCCCGTGAGCGTAATGACGCCTATGTTTGTTCTAAACAATGCGATAGACAATGGATAACATGGGTTCTTACAGTCGTTCACTAAATTGAATTAGGCGTGTCCGCCGGCGCCCAGGTAAGGTGCAATTCGGCTGCAAACAAAAGTTTAGGTTTCGGCCCCCAAAGGCTCACATGAGCCGCTGAGTGCCCTGTGATACATTTTTTAATAATCAGAAAAAGTAACCAAGTTTTGATTATTAACTTAGTTTACCTTAGGGCGGGCTCTCGAGAGCGTCTCTTTACGTCCCTGACACTTGGGCGATCACCAAAGTGTATTGAACCACACTATTACTTTTAGCGATATACGTACACTAAAGGCTTTCATGCGGTGGATAAATCAGTACCCCGACACATATGATTCAATTGCAGGGATTGTTTACATTTAAATCAAGGCAATCTATTCACAATGTTTTGTACAGTATCATAAATTTAAAATGTAAAAAATACGTTTAGATTAATTTTAATAAACCATGCTATTTACTATTCCATATGTGATATTTCTATTTTAAAAGAATCAATTGAAAATATGTACAATATATACAAAGCAGATACAAAGCGCATATGAAGCGCATATAAAGCGCATATAAAGCGCACATAAAGCGCATATAAACTGCATATAAACCGCATATAAAGCTTGGGAAACTAAAAACTTTCTTAGCAGCCCGAAAATTTTTATTTACAAACTGTGATTGTTACACTTACATCTTGTGTTGACAGACGCTAGTGGAGCCTGTCGGGCTCCATGTGTTCTTGCTCTGGTTGCCATTTACATATTTTTTTTTTAAAGTGATTTCAATATAATACACTTATTGAATATTTTTTTTATTGTCAACACTAGTAGCTAACCTTGTTATAAATAAGTAAAATTATTTTTGTGAAGGCCATAAACTGCGTATTGTTGGCTAATGTAATGTTGAAAAAAACAACGACTTTAAAACTGTCATCATGCCTGTGACGTAGTTTCACGTGGTATTTCAATGCATTTTTTATCAATATAAGAGGCAATACTGTCCATACGCTGTTCATTGTCCGTGATTTAGTTTTATGTGCTAATAAACTTTATATTTTAGTTATCACTATAACATTTTTTTCTGTCGGGGATTAGCATTTGACAAAGAAAAAAAAGCAATTCCGATTTACTAAAATGTCGCAAATTGTTATTATATAAATGTATACAATAATCTTATACTTTGCGACTTGTGATATATTTTATTTCATTAACCCCCTAGAGAAGTGTAAAAATTCTTTCCACTGCGATGACCATGAATGCATCTCAAAAGATTTGATCTGCAATGGGAACAATGATTGTAAAGATGGATCCGACGAACGGATATGTAGTAAGTGAAACATTAAATGACCATTTTAAACTTACACCGATGTCGTGTCTATTGAGTTAACAAAAATAATACTGTAATTTAAAAAAAAAAAGTTTCTATTCGATTTACCGTCTAACGAGATGTAATGATGCTTACCGCTGTGCTGACGGTCAATGCATCTTAAATAATTTGAAGTGCAATGGCAAAAATGACTGTAGAGATGCGTCCGACGAACGAAAATGTGGTACGTATGAAGTACTGTAGTCTACCCGGAATGTGATACATACATTTCACAAACATAAATAAACATTACAAACTTACTTTCATTTTACATGTATATAGTTAAAAATACAATAGTTGCCTGAGATAATATATATATATATATATATATATATATATATATATATATATATATATATATATATATATATATATATATATACATACATACATATATATTCGGTTGTATATACAAACTAGTGAAATTTAATGAAGAATTAAAATGTAATGGCGGTCGATGCATTACGAACAATTTTGTTTGTAATGGCAAAAAAATGATATGGAAAATGATGAAGGTTACAGTGGTAAGTGTGAGATGTAAACGGTAAAAAAGTAAATAATACCTGTTACTGGTAATAATCAGTAACACTGTTGTAATTCAACCGGTAAGAGGGACTGAGCCACTTCGCAAATGGGAATAAAACAAACGTATTTTTAAAAATGTATTCGACTGTCGCTTGAACTTCACGGACAAGGTAATGTAATAATAAAGTAATAATAAAGTTTCAGCAGCTAATGCAGTAATAGTAATAATTAAACTTAATAGTGGCGAGCTGAAGGTCTGATGACTTCGCTACAATTCAACGTGCGCAGTTTACAGCCTTAAAGTCATAACAACCTGGTCGGATGACCTCTTGACTCTGGCAATGGCTTACGGCTGGTGAAAAAGACTAAATATCAAGTCCGATGACTATGGGTCAACTTAATGCCCCCAGTTTAGAGTCTGTAGTAAAATAAAATTATAAGTTTTAAAACTATTCGTTACAAAAAAGCACAAAAATACTGCAATAGTACAATTTATTTTTATGTACTTTTAAAACTTAAAGGATACTTATCATACATATATTTATAAGTTACAAACTGAACATTTATTACAAAATGGGCTAAGTAAGTAATACAGTAAGAGAGTCAGAAGAGAGAGAATTTTTTGGATTGTAGCTGCAGTGAGGTTAATGCAATTAGTAATAAAACAAATAGTGTTCGTTACCTCACAAGTTAAAGACAGTTACAAGTACTATGGACGTTTCGACCCAAGGTCTTCGTCAGCACACAACAGTGTGGTTACAGATTAGACAAATAAAGACAAACAGTAACACATTTTTTGACTGAGCTCGACAGTGAAAACACGTCTTGTCTGCTAACCACGATATCCAAAAGAAAAGACGCGTGAGAAGGACGATTGGACACCGTATAGGGGTGGGGTTGGGGGCGTGGTGTATGCGGGGAGGGGGGGTTGGTTAGGTGAAAGATATCTGTTCATTCAAAGCCATCGGGTGCCCGTGTAACAAATTTAAGTATTAGTCGCATTTCAGTGCTAAGGCAATTTTTAAAATTGTGGCAAAACCGAACGGCGGCAATGGAGGTAAACGGCTTTACCATCACATGAGAAGGGGGAGGGAGGTTGAATAAACATGTTACTAGAAATAATGTTATGTATTTTCTTCAAAATCATAACAAATTTGATATTAATGTATCTTCTAACAATATTGTTCCTTAAAAAATACTTGAAAAATTACTATGACATTCATATTATTTAATGTAGTCTGTCCTTGATACATTAAATAATATCTAAAGTTTACATTAAAAAAAATTTAAGTAGTAAATGTTTTAAAGTATTTGATTTTTTTCCGCAGATCGTTGTTCTGAAGGCAATTTCAAATGCGACTCAATTATGTGCTTTAGACCTCCCGTGAGATGTGATGGCAATCTTGATTGTACTGACCAGTCAGATGAATTCCATTGCTGTAAGTGAAGCTTACTGTTTATCAGTATACTTTACATATAATATAGTATACTTTACCGATGATGCCGTAAATGGTACAGCATACAAATACAACTGAAATTTCAACTGCAACTTTGGAATGAAAGTCCTTTTCAGAAATTGTTGCAGCATTCTATTAAATGTATATATTCAATCACTGAATGTTTAAAACATTTTTAGCATTAAAATGTGGGTATCTAATGGAGCTAAAAATATAAAAATTCACGTAAAACTTTCAATAATAATCAATCATAGCAGTAAAATGGTGATTAAAATAATGGATATACACTTAATTATAAAAAAGATGCATTGATATCTTTATATATGCAATAATTATAGTTGACTTTTCTATGACAGAATATTTTGTAACAATATATAATTTAATCACTTTTTACTCTCCACACAACAGATTAACTTTACACTCTTATTTTTTTTTCTGTTAAAACAAATTTTAAATGTTACAAATAATTGTTTTTATTGAAATCGTTCACCAGCTAGTTGCAAAGAAGGCGGTTTCAAATGTAATGATCCCATGTGCATCAATAAAAATCAAAGATGTAACGGAAAAAAAGAATGTCCGGAATACGAGGATGAAGTAAACTGCAGTAAGAGTTACCATGATACTTATTTGAGTATTGTAACAATAATGCCAGCGAAGGCGAAAGCTGATTTACTTTTACACTGTGCAGTGTTGAGCAAACATAGTTCACTTGACTGTGTGACCGCGGCAGGTACAACCGATTCTACTGTGGTCACTTCTGTGCCAGTCGGATACATATTAATGCTGGCTGAGCCGTTTTCTAGACTTTCATGTATAGCTAGCTCTCTGCCCGATTACGCCGTTCCAATAGATTTTATTTATAGTAACATTAATCTTTGCAAATAATAGATATTAAAAATATTTGATCTGAAACCGTAATACAGCACGGTATTTCTACTTTAAAGTAACCAAATAAAAATATATTCTTATAAATTTATGTTATTTTAATAACAAAAAATGGATCCGTCTATATAAAACTATTGTTTCAAATTCAAATTTTATTTGGTTTAAAATAATATCATTGTAAGTCACCAAATTTAGATCTTAAAACAATATTTACATTATTTCTCGCATTATAAATGAACATCGCTGATATACATCGTATTATTTATATTCTAGTCCATGCTACGTTAAACAAAATATGTTTATAAAAATTAGTTTCCTTACTCTCCCAACAGCAAGTTGTAATGAAGGTGGATTCTATTGCGGAGATGGGAATTGTATATCAGAAAATCAGAGATGTGACGGCTCTCCTGACTGTAACGATACATCCGACGAACGGAATTGTCGTAAGGGCGTATGCTGTATTCTACGTAAATTAGTTAGCGAAATCACATTTCATAAAATAAACAATAACAATATACGCATATTTATTTTATGATCAATTAATAACCACAAATAACATAATACTTCGCTAAGACAATATTTTAATGTCATTTCTATACTTACTTACTTAATCCTCATCACTCCCTGTGGAGTATAGGGCAATAACAAATCTCCGCCATTCAATTCTGTCTTGGGCGAGCAACTTTAGTTCATGCCAGGTCTTGTCAGTAGCCTGCACTTCTTCTTCCATCTCTCTCCTCCATGTTCCTAGTGGTCTTCCTCTCTTTCGATTTCCAGGCGGAATCCACTTCAGCGCCATGTTGGGGAACCTTCTTTTGCTCATGCGTAGGACATGACCCAGCCATCTCCATCTCCTCATTCGAACTTCCGAAACAATTTATTTAATCCTGTCCTTCACCATATTTCCTTGTTCGGGACTCTGTCGTCCCACTTTATTCTGAGGATGCCTTGGAGGGATCTTCTTTCAAATCCTCTGAGTCGGCTCTCTCCTTTCTTGTTTAGTTTCCATGACTCTGCAGCATAGAGGAGTACAGAACGTACATTAGACTTGTAGATCCTTATTTTAGTTCTCTGATGCAGTGAGGATGATTTCCAGATCATGGCTATTCTTTTGAAAGCTTGTGCTGCCATTGCTATTCCGATGGCCATTTCTTTCTCCATGCTGCCATTTGCAGATAGATTGCTGCCAAGGTACCTAAAGTCTTTGACCTCTTCTAGCTATGCTCCAGTCGCAAAGGTCTTGAGAGCACTTTTGGTTTTTATTTTCATTAGCTTTTTTTCCGGAGTTTATCTTTAGTCCAAAGCTTTTAGCAATTTGCTCTATTTTTGTGGTTTTAGCTTGGATGTCTTTTTGGGCATGTGAGAGTAAAGCCAAGTCATCAGCAAAGTCACAGTACTCTAGGTGCTTTGTAAGTTCCCAAACAATTCCTCTTGGCTTATCCTCAGTGGCTTTTCTCTTAATCCAGTCTATTACCACCAAAAAGATGACAGGTGAGATGACACAGCCTTGTCTGACTCCTGTTTTTACCTTGGACCATTCACTTTGCTGATTTTCATGTCGCCCACAGCTTTGGATGTCATAGTACATGTCTTTAAGTGTGTTTATGAATTTTCCTGGAAAGCCATATAGCTCTAGTATCTTCCATAATGATGGATAGTGGATGCTATCAAATGCTTTCTCGAAATCTATGTAGTTGATGTAGAGAAACTAATTCCACTCTAGGGACTGTTCCACTATAGTGCGCAAGACAAATATTTGGTCGTTACATGACCTGTAGGCTCTGAAGCCAGCTTGTTCTTTACGACGGATCCCATCAATTCCTTTCCTCATTCATTGTAATAAGACTATGCAGAAGATTTTTCCTGGTACTGACAGAAGATTAATGCCTCTCCAGTTCTCAAAAACATTAAGGTCGCCCTTTTTTGGGTAATTTGATAATGATTCACCGTTTCCAAGAATCTGGGACTTTTTCTTCAATCCATACTTTATTGAAGATCCCTGATAGAGAACTTTTTCGTTTTCGTCCTTGATAGTAGATGATCTATTTGCTATTCCTCCTGTTAGAGTCCTGCTAATCTTGTAAACTGTTCTGCTATCTCCCTTATCAGCTGCAGCCTGTGCTTCTGTGGCCATTGTGTCTCTACATAGTTTCTTTTATCCTTCCTAGCATTCCTTTTTACCTCTTTTTGTAGTCTTCTATATTTTTCATTGTTCCGTACCCTGCTTTCCATGGTTCAAGATAATGTTTTAATTTTGGCTTCTCTTCTCTTAACAATGAGATCCCAAGTATCGCTTGAGATCCATTCCTTCCTTTGTCTGTTCCTGTGTCCTAGTATGCATTAGCTTGTTTTCTTGTATACATCCAGGATCTTCTCGCATTGTGTATTGGTGTCCTCTTCTGATAGTTTCTCGAGTAGACTAAATCTAATTTTTAATTCAATTGCGAAGTTTGCCTTAATGGTGGGATCTTTTAGTTTAGCTAAATCAAATAGCTGGTGGTTTACTTTCCTGTCGACTCTCCTAAGCTTGAGTTGTAGCTTGCACAAAACTAGATTATGGTCGCTACCTACGTCAGCTCCTCTTATTGCCTTTACATCTCTCGTGGATTTTCTCCACTTTTTATTTATAGCAATGTGATCGATTTTATTGCTGGTTCGCTTATCTGGGATATCCATGTGGATTTATGTATTTCTTTGTGCTGGAATAAGCTGCCAACTTTAACTCGGCCATTTTCTGAGCAGATCTCTTTTAATCTTTGACCGTTGTTGTTTACCTCTCCTAGCCCCTCTTTACCCATGCAGGGTTCGTATCCTTAGTTGCTGGACCCTATCTTTGCATTTATGTGTACAATGACTATTAGAATGTCATGTTGTAGAGTCCTGTCGATTTGATCTTGTAGAGTGTAGTAGAACGTGTCTTTGTCTTCATCTTTTGCTTGTTCTGTCGGAACGTAGCACTGTAATATCGTAATCTTTACATGTCTTGAGTAGAATTTGGCTCTAAGAATGCGAGAATTGATTGGTTCCCACCCTATTAGACATTTCCTTGATATGTTATCCATGATAATACCAACTCTTTCCTGGTGTTGGTTATCAGATCTCCCAGAATAGATTATAGTTTCTCCTGATCCAAGTGTAGTCAGGCCTGAGTCTGTCCATCTCATTTCGCTGATACCCAGGATGTTGATCCTGTATCTTGACGTTTCCTTGACCACTTGAGCTGTTCGCTAGTTTCGTACATGGTACGCACATTTCAAGCTTCTATTCGTGTCATAATTTTGGGGGTTACTAAGGACTGTTTTGGAGTAAAGACTTCCTTGCGGCTTTCATCTAGACTCGTTATATCAGGCAAAGCTGCCTCAATCCTCGGTTGCTCTTCCATGATGGCTTGATTTAGATCTGTTGCCGTTTCCGTAGCTCTTTTGTTTTTACATGGTGGGTTGCTAGCCCAAGCCCATTCTGGACTTAGGACTAGACAATGGCGGAATTAATTCTATACTAGCCTTTTGTAAAGGTAAAGCTCTCGACTATTACAACGGTTATTGCGTCAACCGGCATTTGAAATGTAATAACATATATGACAGTATAAACGGAGCTGATGAAGTGAATTGTCGTAAGTGTATAAGGTGGGCTGTATCGCCCTGTTTTTATATAAAGATGATGATGTCATATAATGTGGCAATTATATAGTACTGATCCACTCTCGATATAGCCATTTTGATACAGTACATTGAGAAAGACCAGGTAACTATGTATTCGTATATATATATATATATATATATATATATATATATATATATATATATATATATATATATGTTGGCTGGTACTCTATGGTTGGCTTGTTATTTTAAATAGTTGTCATAGGTTGCTTGTTTTTTTGTGTAATTGTATTCTTGGTTGGTCGTAGCTGGATGGGGGGTAATGTTGCCCCCACCCCTCAACGACAGGACAGCGCCCGGTTCTCACGGCGCGGGGATCTGCCCCGTGTGTCAAGAATAATTTATGAGTGTTCACAGTCGTAGACCGGCGTGACCGGACCCTAGGTGTGTGCATGCTTTGTATTTCGATTTTATGTCCTGTCTGCCCAATGCTCGTCTCCTTAAATTTACCAGCGTAAGGTCACGACGGTCAGTTCGGGCCAAATAGTTGGTTTGGGGGTGGTGGGAAAGTTTGATTGGATTCAGCCTATAAAAGAAGAAGGTTAAATGGTCATAAGAGCGTAGACAAAAGAGCGCCGACATAAGAGCGCCGACATAAGAACGCAAATTAAAGATAGAAAAATCATATTTAATAAATAGGAACAAGAAAATTAACTCAGAACAGAAGGCATTGTTTGATGTTAACTCTTTATTGTTTCATTAAAAAAGTAACTGTTCAGTTTCTTTAACTAAAATACTGATATAAACAACGTGAAGTCCAATTATTCAAAACGCAATCTAACAACACATACACAGATTTTAAATGTTAGGCCTAAAGTGAGAATATAAACTGAAATGAAATGTAAAAAAAATCAAAATAAGTTCAGATTAATAAAACGTTTCTTTATAGTTGCATTTATATTGCTAAGTTGTGGGCTATACCTCGTAGGTAGTCCATCATTGAATCATTAGCATAGGTTGAAGCAATCGCCTGCAATCTTCGGTTCAGCTGAACATATTTGTTCTTTGAAGCTCCTGGTTTATTATCTCCAGCTACTAGATACGTTTCAGTTCGATTTCGATGCGATCTTGTTCCAGACGAAACAGGTTCATCAATTTATAAACGGATGGAGGATTGCAATCTACCGTTTGTTGTAATGCGCGATGCCATGCCTCGACTGAGTTGTTTGTACGGGGTAGATTTTCAGCGATACGATTATGCACATTCCAAATAGCAAGAGCGAAGCTCGGGTCACCTCCACGGTTTCTCCTTCTCCTCAGTATGTAAGTATCTTTCCAATTATCTACTAGTGGCATAATTTTTGCAGGGCTAGCTTCTACCAAAATTGCTCAAAGGCAGTACAGACATCATTGCCTTCGTCCAATATAATAACCTTCCCTTTCTGTGATTCGATCTTGGGTTAGAAATATTTTTAAACTGCATTTATAAGATATTAACCATAATATATAAATAAAAACGTCGTTTAATCGTACCTCCGATTATTTAATTAAAACAAGTGTTAACTAAGTCATATTCGTTTAGCATACAACACCTGTTTTTTTTTTAATTTGCTGCGCTCTTATGTCGGCGCTCTTATGTCGGCGCTTTTTTGTCGTGCGCTCTTTTGACGGGTCACCATTACATATATATACATATAAATAAATAAATAAATAAATATATATATATATATATATATATATATATATATATATATATATATATATATATATATATATATATATATATATATATATATATTATAACTAGTTATGCCTTAATGTTACGAACATGATAACCTAACTCAAGACAAAGTCTGTTGGAACAGTGAATGTATTTTACCAAATAAAAAAATAAGACTATCAAGTTACGTTTATAAAGTATATAGTTAGTTAACAGAAATATTACAATAGTTAACGTAGATAATATATATTAAATCTATTTATACCAGCCAGATGTAAAGGTGAAGATTTCTTCTGTGGTTACGGTCTTTGCATCGAACGTCCTTTGAGATGTAATGGCGCCAAGGACTGCTTTGATGGACGTGATGAAATAAATTGTAGTAAGTGTGTGATGATTTGTATTTTCACTTGGAATGGTCAAATTAGGATATAATACGATTTATATTTTCTTTCTAACATTATGACAACTAAAAAGATTGTTTATAGTCTGGTACATATATTTAGGGTGCGTAAAAATTGGAATTTAAGAAGCTAAACATATACATAAATGAAATTCTTGGTGCACATCATTGATACATGCACATATATGCACACACACACGTTCACACACTCACACACACACACACACATATATATATATATATATATATATATATATATATATATATATATATATATATATATATATATATATATATATATAGTATATATATATATATATATATATATATATATATATATATATATATATATATATATAATCAGATTGTATTAAAATACTCGTACAAAGTAAGTGCGTCGTGATATATACCTAAATATTTTGTCTGCACTTACCAATCATCAGTATGATGTTAGTGATGATGTTATATTTGTAAACAAAAATGAAAGTCAGATGTGGTTCAACACCGTTCTTCAGTGTACCTGAGATTTGGGGAATCGATGAACGTAGGCTACTCCTAAGAAGGTTTCTGTGAACAAAACAGAATATAACATGGTAAGGGAGGGCATGAGGGTGGGGGGGGGTGCGATTCTCGTCAATACATATTTTTGAAAACACGGAATTCAAGAGTTGTTAGCAAGTGGCAATCGTACGTCCTGCAAAACTGGTAAGGCTTACTACTACTTTCAGCGTTATAACTTCAACAGGCGCAACCACCGGCACCTCGTAGACACGATGGGCAACAATAATCGTTGACTATTATCGAACCAGAAGCGTCCCCCGGCGCCCCTGCAGGGTTCGATTTCGCGCCCTGGGCATTTCCGTGAGCAAAATGGCGCCTACGTTTGTTCTGAGTGCCCTGTAATACATTTGTTAAATGAGAAACAGTAACCAAGTTTTAATTATTACCTGGGGGTTCTACAGAGCGCCTCTCTACGTCCCTGACACCTGGTCAATCACCAAAAGTGTAATCTACCACACTAATACCGTTAGCGATTTACGCACACTCAAGGCTTTCATGCGGTAGATAAATCCGTACCTCGATACATATGATTCAATTGCAGGCATTGTTTACATTTAAATTTTAGGGGGTAGGAGCCGGTTAAAAAAAAAACTTTTATAAGACTCCTTAGAAAACAATATTTTCTTTAACCTTTTTTAAGGAAAATCCTCATAAGCGTTTGCATACACGAAAAAATGGTGGAAAAATCTTGGTAACGATTAACGTGGCGGCCATCTTGAAAATTAACCCCTTCGTAGGTTTTCCACTATTCATGAAATATTATATTTTAAGCCGAATCAACTATGAATTCATAATCTTCTTCCATATGTTGGGGTACTCAGGTACAACTTGAAGTTCATATATAATTTATTATGAATTTTAAAAATCTGTGTCCGTTCGAAACATTTAATTTTATGGAATTTTGGGGCATTAACAACAAGTGTTTTGCATTTTCATTTCTTTGTTCAATATATTAATTCAAATGATAGCAGAGAAGAGTTGCTATTTTGTGAGGATATCACGGTGAAAATAAATGTTTTTTTTAACTGGAGGTTTATAATGGGAAACGGCTGTGCAGTTTGTACGGAAGTTGCGACATCCATGCTTGGGTCAAAATAAGGCTTTCAGAAAAAAGTAAAAGATTTAGCTCCCTAAACAAGGGGAATCCACTGCATGATTCGCCGGTATGTCCACGTCAGCAAGACTCTACCGACAAACGAACGAATATTATCTATTTTTATTATAATCTCGGGACATTTTTAGTAAAGCAGCAAAATTGCCAAAGAAAAATAAATCTTGGAAATATTACCATGTTTGAGAAACTCTGCAATGCTCAGGGGTCTTAAAACTTTTCAAATTTCAAGTGTTCACCTCCCGGAGTAAAAAGGATGACAGTGATATACATGTTCAGTAGGGAAGACAGCTCTTGTGTTAAGGTTCATGTCTTCATCCGCATCTCTAATGAACATTAGCAGTTAAGAGGTAGAACAGATGTCCAGCGACTCATCTCCATTTCAATTTTAAAAATGGCAATACTTTCTTGTATTTTTCGCGATTTAAGACACAATGTTTTCACCATTGTCTGCAAGACGGTGGGCAATTTTGGTATTTACACCCAAATCTACATTTTAAAGTTGTTTTGAATTTTCTAGGCAAAATTCCTCACCAACCTCCAACACACATTTTTTCCGTGGACAAAAAGATATCCCCGGGCCGGATGATAGGACTTCGCGAGCCGCATCCGGCCCGCGGGCCGTTGTTTGGAGACCCCTGATATAGATGAATCTGAATGTGAAATAAAAAATATTTTAAAGAGGATTATGTGCATCTTGAATCTCTTTAAAACGAACTGTGACGCTAATTTCCCTGAGCTGGAAGAAGAAGAACCTGCATTGATACGTCACCCCTTCTCTGCTTCCCTTGATGTTGCCAGCATTCCCGATAAATCAAAAGATGAAATCTTGGGTTTACGGAATGATTCCGCGTCACGTGCCGTTTTAAACACAATTTTAGTGTAGTATGCAGCATTTAAACCCAAACATGAAATTGATTGCCTTTCGAGTTTTAGTTCCTTTTGTTTTCGCGTTCAAAACTTCCCAAATTACAAACAAAACAAAGATATATATTAAATTTTGAAGTTCGGGTTAGCAAAACTCAACGGCGAATGTTGAGGCTGGATAATAGCAAGTTATTTCATTCATAGTATTAAAACAGTTATCAAAAAAATTCATATTTAAAATCTACTGAAATCTCTTATCTTAGTGCTTATTAATTTCCTTACTAATATCGACTTTTTAATTATTTAGTGTAGCGGGTAACTTAATTTTTATAAAAGGGGGTCCCTAGTCGAAAATTTTGGAAGCCACTGCAATAGATAATAGTTACCCAGGTTTATTTTTGCATACTGCTAATATTTATATACGAGAAAGTAAACACATGTGAATACAAATTCGGTGGACATCCAATATGACATTATTGTTGGAATAATATAATTAGCTTATATGGATAAAGTGCAATATGGTAGGTAAAACACGGATATTTTAAATACTGACTTTTATTTATTTTATTCACTGAACGTATTGTTTACTAATTATTATTTTAAATCAATAACAGTTCAGACGTTTCTATTAAATTTCCTTTATGTTAACTTCTATCTTTCGGTTTGCGGACAAGCTGGGGGTTTAGTAAGTCATTCTCTAACTTAAATTAGGGGAGTCCGCTGCTCCTGAGCAGGGTTCGATTTAGCAACACGAGCTCGACCGTAAACAGTATGCGTTTATGTTTCCATTTAACTAATGTTTTGTGTTTTTGTTTGTGTTTTTGTTTAGGTTTTAATTTTATTCTGTTTTCAAATTGGTACTTTTAAAAAAGATTCACTGTGGCAGCGCACTGGTATGCAGGTTGTGTATATATATATATATATATATATATATATATATATATATATATATATATATATATATATATATATATATATATATATATATATATACATAATGTTTTTATTTACGTTAAAGAAGCTAAAACAATTAATAATTAATAAGGGTCAGCGTGTTCGAGTCGGTAAAGCTCATGTTTGGTAAATCGAAAAATCTCGAGTTCGATAGCTGGAGATAAACTCGTTTCTAGGAGAGACAACTCCAAAATAAATCAACAGCTGCTTTGCAGTTTTATATAGGTTGTACAAAGGCTATGGAAGCAATTCCAAAAAGAAAAGAAGGCTGTAATCGGAGTAAACGGCCTATTTGGGGCTTATCAATTTCACGCGTATACTAAATCAAAGCAATCTATCCACAATGTTTTGTACAGTTTCATAAATTTAAAATGTCAAAAATAAGTTTAGATTAATTTTTATAAACCATGCTATTTACTATTCCATATGTGATATTTCTATTTTAAAAGAATCAATTGAAAATATGTATAATATATACAAAGCGCATTCAAAGCGCATATAAAGCGCAAATAAAGCGCATATAAAGCGCATATAAACTGCACATAAACGCATATAAAGCGTGGTAAACTCAAAACTTTGTATTTACAAGTTGTGATTGTTACGCTAATATCTGATGTCGACAGACGCTGGAGGAGCCTGTCGGGTTCCATTTGTGCTTGCTCTGGATTAATTTTTAGCAGTTCTTTTTTTTTCTTCGTGCCATTTACATAAACATTTTAAAAAAAAGTGATTTAAATTAATTACACTTAATGAATGATTTTATAATTTGTCAACACTAGTAGCTAATCTTGTTATAAATAAGTAAAATTATTTTTGTGAAGGCCATAAACTGCGTACTGTTGGCTAATGTAATGTTGAAAAAAACAACGACTTTAAAACTGTTATCATGCCTGTTACGTAGTTTCACGTGGTATTTCAATGCATTATTTTATCAATATAAAAGGCAATACTGTCCACACGCTGTTCATTGCCCGTAATTTAGTTTTATGTGCTAGTAAACTTTATATTTTAGTTATCACTATAACATTTTTTTCTGTCGGGGATTAGCATATGGCAAAGAAAAAAAGCAATACCGATTTACTAAAATATCGCATATTGTTATTATATAAATGTATACAATAATCTTATACTTAGCGACCTGTGATGTATTTTATTTCCTTTACCCCCTAGTGAAGTGTAAAAATTCTTTCTTATGTGATGACGATGAATGCATCTCAAAAGATTTGATCTGCAATGGGAACAATGAATGTAAAGATGGATCCGACGAACGGATGTGTAGTAAGTGAAACATTAAATGACAATTTCAAACTTACACCGATGTCGTGTCTATTGAGTTAACATAAATAATATTGTAATTAAAACAAAAAAAAAAGTTTCCATTCGATTTACCGTCTAACGAGATGTAATGATGCTTACCGCTGTGCTGTCGGTCAATGCATCTTAAATAATTTGTAGTGCAATGGCAAAAATGACTGTAGAGATGCGTCCGACGAACGAAAATGTGGTAGGTATGAAGTACTGTATTCTACCCCGAATGTGATAAATACATTTCACAAACATAAATAAACATTACAAACTTACTTTCATTTTACATGTATTTAGTTAAAAATACAATAGTTGGCTGAGATAATATATACATATATGTATATATATATATATATATATATATATATATATATATATATATATATATATATATATATATATATATATATATATATATATATATATATATATATATATATATATATATATATATATATATATATATATATATATATATTTGTATATACCAACTACTGAAATATAATAAAGAATTACAATGTAATGACGGTCGATGCATTACGAACAATTTTGTTTGTAATGGCAAAAAAATGATATGGGAAATGATGAAGGTTACAGTGGTAAGTGTGAGATGTCAACAGTATAAAGTAAATAATACCTGTTACTGGTAATAATCAGTAACACTGTTGTAATTCAACCGGTAGGAGAGACTGAGCCACTTCGCAAATGGGAATAAAGCAAACGTATTTTTAAAAATGTATTCGACTTTCACGTGAACTTTACGGACAGGGTAAAGTAATAATAAACTTTCAGCAGCAAATGCACTAATAGTACCCCTTTTGTACATGAAGTTCTCGGTGTGTCACGTAGACAATCTAGCCAACTGTAGAAAAGCTCGTGAAGGTGGGGGGGGGGGGGAGATAAGAATGTACGTTGCTGATGAGGGGGTCCTAGGTGCTTTGACCACAGGTGCTTTGACCATAGGGGGTTTGACCATAGGGGTTTGACCACAGCTGAGCTTTGACCATAGGGGGTTTGACCATAGGGGGTTTGACCACAGCTGGGCGTTGACCACAGAGGGGCTTTGACCATAGGGGGTTTGATCATAAGGGGATTGACCGTAGGGGGTTTGACCACAGCGTGGCTTTGACCACAGAGCGGGTTTAACCATAATATATAGATTTTAAAATAGATATTATAAATTGTTATTTGATTTAAATTTGTGATACAATTAATACGATTTTATATATGTTTCCTGGGAGTCCATTATTAGAAATTAACGCACTAAAAAAACGTTAAGAACGATATTTTAGTCTCCACATAAAGGCTGGTGTTACGCCTCAAAGAATTTATTTTAAATGGAACATAAATAATGCGACATATAACAAGTTTCACAAATAAATAATGTAGATGTACTTGAAAATACATAAATAAAAATGATAACAAAGGATAAAAAAACATGCCAACAGTGTAGTCAAAGAAGTAATATTTGTATGGTTTAGATGTCTTGTATTTATATATGATGAATTAACATATTATATCCTGCCGCAATTTAAAATATAATTACACAACATTTAAAATCAATCATTACAATATTTGGACAAAGCGCTTATTATCAAACGCCAGCATTTGACAAACCACCTGTGATCAAAGACCCTATGTAGACAAAAAACCCTGTGATCAAAGACCCTATATGGAATAAACACCCGTGTTTAAAGCCGGACACAGCGCTTGTGATCAAACACCCGTTGACAAACCACCTGTGATCAATCCGTTATGGTCAAACCCCCTATGGTCAAACCCCCTATGGTCAAAGCTCCGCTGTGGTCAAACCCCCTATGGTCAAACCCCCTATTGTCAAAGCACCTGTGGTCAAAGGTCCGCGCACCGGTGAGGGGGGGAGTGATAGCGCAGGTACAGCGTGGTGGAAGCACACAATGTAGGTAAACGGTTTTACCATCACATGAGAAGGGGGAGGGAGGTTGAATAAACATGTTACTCGAAATAATGTCATGTATGTTCTTTAAAATCATAACAACTTTGAAATATATATATATTTTCTCACATTATTGTTCCTTAAAAAAAAACTTGAAAAATGTCTATGACATTCATATTATTTACTGTAGTCTGTCTTGGAGTCATTATATAATATCTAAAGTTTACAATAAAAAAGAGTTTTTTTACAGTGGTAAATGTTTTAAAGTATTTTTTTTTCGCAGAACGTTGTTCTGAAGGCAATTTCAAATGCGACTTAAGGATGTGCTATAGACCTCCCATGAGATGTGATGGCACTCTTGATTGTACTGACCATTCGGATGAACACAACTGCTGTAAGTGAAGCTTACTGTTTATTATTATACTTTACATATAATCAGTTTACTTTACTTATAATCAGTATACATTACCGATGATACCGTAAATGGTACAGCATATAAATACAGTTGAGATTTCAACTGCAACTTTAAAATGAAAGTCCTTTTCAGAAATTATTGCAGATTCTATTAAATGTAAATAGGGGTCATCCATAAATGACGTCACACTCGTAGGGGGAGGGGGGTCCGTAATTTTGTGACGATGTGTGATGAGGGGGAGGGGGGGGGGGTCAGATGTTGCGACGTCACATTTTTGCATTACAAAAAAAGCAATGTTAGAAAACGAATTTTAGACGTTATTTCGCGTTTTAGATAACTGTTTTAACAAATTGTAATAGTTTAGACAAGATTTTGGAAAAATATCGATGTTTAAAAAAAATTCAACTGCAATTTTGAGGGGGGGTTGTAGGTTGAGGTGTGACGTCATTTTAGGGGGGGGGTCTGACTTTTTGTGACGACGTGTGACGGAGGGGAGGGGGGGAGGTAAAAATCGTCAAAAAAAGCGTGACGTCATTTATGGATGACCCCATATTCAATCAATCAATGTTTAAAACAGTTTTTTAGCATTAAAATATGGGTATCTAAAGGAGCTAAAAATATAAAAATTCACGTAAAACTTTCAATAATAATAAATCATAGCAGTAAAATGGTGATTAAAATAATGGATATAAACTTAATTATAACAAAGATGCATTGATATCTTTATATATGCAATAATTATAGTTGACTATTCTATGACATAATATTTTGTAACAATATATAATTTAATCACTTTTTACTCTCCACACAATAGGTTAATTTAACAGTCTTAATTTTTTTCTTTTCTGTTCAAACAAATTTTACATTTTACAAATTATTTTTTTATTGAAATCGTTCACCAGCTAGTTGCAAAGGAGGCGCTTTCAAATGTTTTAGTAATGATAGTAAATGCTTCAATAAAAACAAAAAATGTAACGGAAAAAGAGAATGTTTGGATTACAAGGATGAAGCAAACTGCAGTAAGAGTTGCCGTTCCAATGGATTTTATTTATAGTAGCATTAATCTTTGCAAATAGCTATTAAAAATATTTTAACTGAAACCTTAATACAGCACGGTATTTCTACTTTAAAGTAACCAAATGAAAATATATTCTACTACATTTATGTTATTTGTTATTATATTATGTTATTTATGTTAAAACTATTGTTTCAAAAATTTAAATTACATTCAAAAAAATTAAGTTTATTTGGTTTAAAAATAACATCATTATAAGTCACCAAATTTAAAACAATATTTACATTATTACTCACATTATAAATGAACATCGCTGATATACATCGTATAACTTATACTCTAGTCCATGCTACGTTAAACAAAAAATGTTTATCATATTTAGTTTTCTTACTCTCCCAACAGCAAGTTGTAATGAAGGCGGTTTTTATTGCGGAGATGGGAATTGTATCTCAGAAAATCAGAGATGTGACGGCTCTCCTGACTGTGAAGATAGATCCGACGAACGGAATTGTTGTAAGGGCGATATGCTGTATTCTACGTAAATTAGTTAGCGAAATCACATTTCATAAAATAAACAATAACAATATATGCATATTTATTTTCTGGTCAATTAATAAACACAAATAACATAATACTTTGCTAAGACAATATTTTAATGTCATTTCTATACTTACTTACTTAATCCTCATCACTCCCTGTGGAGTATAGGGCAATAACAAATCTCCGCCATTCAATTCTGTCTAGGGCGAGCAACTTTAGTTCATGCCAGGTCTTGCCAGTAGCCTGCACTTCTTCTTCCATCTCCCTCCTCCATGTTCCTAGTGGTCTTCCTCTCTTTCGATTTCCAGACTGAGTCTACTTTAGCGCCATGTTGGGGAGCCTTCTTTTGCTCATGCGTAGGACATGACCCAGCCATCTCCATCTCCTCATTCGAACTTCCGAAACAATTTTGTTTAATCCTGTCCTTCGCCATATTTCCTCTGTCGTCCCACTTTATTCTGAGGATGCCTTGGAGGGATCTTTTTTCAAATCCTCTGAGTCGGCTCTCTCCTTTCTTGTTTAGTTTCCATGACTCTGCAGCATAGAGGAGTACAGAACGTACATTAGACTTGTAGATCCTTATTTTAGTTCTCTGCTGCAGTGAGAATAATTCCCAGATCTTAGCGAGTCTTTTAAAAGCTTGTGTTGCCATTGCTATTCCAATGGCCATTTCCTTCTCCATGTTGTCATTTTCTGATATATAGCTGCCAAGGGACTTAAAGTCTTCGACCTCTTGTAGCTCTGCTCCATTCGCAAATGTCTTGAGAGCACTTTTGGTTTTTATTTTCATTAGCTTTTCTTTTCCGGAGTTGATCTTTAGTCCAAAGCTTTTAGCAATTTGCTCTATTTTTGTGGTTTTTGCTTGGATGAATTTTGAGCATGTGAGAGTAAAGCTATGTCATCAGCAAAGTCACAGTACTCTAGGTGCTTGGTAAGTTCCCAAACATTTCCTCTTGGCTTATCTTCTGTGGCTCTTCTCATAATCCAGTCTATTACCACTAAAAAGATGACAGGTGAGATAACAAAGCCTTGTCTGACTCATGTTTTTACCTTGAACCATTCACTTTGCTGATTTTCATGTCGCCCACAGCATTGGTTGTCATAGTACATGTCTTTAAGTATGTTTATGACTTTTCCTGGAAAGCCATATAGCTCTAGTATCTTCCATAATGATGGATAGTGGATGCTATCAAGTGCTTTCTCGAAATCTATGTAGTTGATGTAGAGAAACTAATTCCACTCTAGGGACTGTTCCACTATAGTGCGCAATAGAAATATTTGGTCGTTACATGACCTGTAGGCCCTGAAGCCAGCTTGTCCTTCTCGAAGGATCCCATCAATTCCTTTCCTCATTCATTGTAATAAGACTCTGCAGAAGATTTTTCATGGTACTGACAGAAGATTAATCCCTCTCCAGTTCTCACGAACATTGAGGTCGCCCTTTTTTTCTATAATTTGATAATGATTTCTCCGTTTCCAAGAATCTGAACTTTTTCTTCATTCGATTCTTTATTGAAGATCCCTGCACCTATTTTTGGGTCTGCCTTAAGCATCTCCGCAGTGATTCTGAATTCTCTCCTAGAGCCATATTGCTTTTTGTTTTTTTGATAGCTTGTATTATTTCTTGTTCTATGATGGGTCTTCTATGCATTTCGAAATTTAGGTTCGTGTCAGTGAAGTCAGCAGTTTCTTTTGGATCTGGTATGTTTAGGGTCTCTTCGAAGTATACAGCCCTTCTTTTTAATTGGTATTTCTCCGTTGTGAGAACTTTTCATATTTGTCCTTGATAGTAGATGATCTATTTGCTATTTCTCCTGTAGAATCCTGATAAACTTGTTGACTGTTCTGCTATCCCCCTTATGTGTGGCCATTGTGTCTACATAGTTTCTTTTATCCTTCCTAGCATTCCTTTTTACCTCTTTTTGTAGTTTTCTATATTCTTCATTGTTCCGTGCCCTTATTTCCTTGGTTCCAAATAATGTTTTAATTTTGGCTTCTCTTTTCTTTTTAATGAGATCCCAAATACCGTTTGAGATCCATTCCTTCCTTTGTCTGTTCCTGTGTCCTAGTATGCATTAGCTTGTTTTCTTGTATACATCCAGGATCTTCTCGCATTGTGTATTGGTGTCCTCTTCTGATAGGTTCTCGAGTAGACTAAATCTATTTTTTAGTTCAATTGCGAAGTTTGCCTTAATGGTGGGATCTTTTAGTTTAGCTGAATCAAATAGTTGGTGGTTTACTTTCCTGTCGACTCTCCTAAGTTTGAGTTGTAGCTTGCACAAAACTAGATTATGGTCGCTACCTACGTCAGCTCCTCTTATTGCCTTTACATCCCTTGTGGATTTTCTCCTCTTTTTATTTATAGCAATGTGATCGATTTGATTGCAAGTTCGCTTATCTGGGATTATCCATGTGGATTTATGTATTTCTTTGTGCTGGAATAAGCTGCCAACTTTAACTCGGCCATTTCTGAGCAGATCTCTTTTAATCTTTGACCGTCGTTGTTTACCTCTCCTAGTCCCTCTTTACCCATGCAGGGTTCGTATCCTTAGTTGCTGGACCCTATTTTTGCATTTATGTGTACGATGACTATTAGAATGTCATGTTGTAGAGTCCTGTCGATTTGATCTTGTAGAGTGTAGTAGAACGTGTCTTTGTCTTCATCTGTTGCTTGTTCTGTCGGAGCGTAGCACTGTAATATCGTAATCGTTACATGTCTTGAGTAGAATCTGGTTCTAAGAATGCGAGAATTGATTGGTTCCCGTCCTATTAGACTTTTCCTTGATATTGTATCCATGATACTACCAACGCCTTCCTGGTGTTGGTTATCAGATCTCCCAGAATAGATTATAGATTCTCCTGTTCCAAGTGTAGTCAGGTCTTAGTCTGTCCATCTCATTTCGCTGATACCCAGGATGTTGATCCTGTATCTTGACATTTCCTTGACCACTTGAGCTGTTTTACAATTTTCGTACATGGTACGCACATTCCAAACACCTATTCGTGTCTGTCTGTAATAAATACAGCAAACGGACGTATTGTTAAAGTTATGACCGACAGAAAATTAGATTTAGAACGCGTTAAACTTTTGAATGGGAACACAATCTTCTTTGCTAGACGCCGCCATTTTATTGTACTAAAAAGTAAACAAAAAAACTGTGACGTCACGGTTCCATCGAGTCTAGTGGTTTTTCTAATCTTTTTAAAAAAAATGTGGTAAATATACCTATGAATAAATCAATAAATTAATTAACGAAAAATTTGTGATTAACAGTCTGTCTTAAAACAAAAAGTGTTCTCTACCTACGTATTATTTTACAGCTCTCCACGATGAGTACAACCATTTACAACAGCAAATCAGACAAACAAACAAAAAAAATAAATATTCAAGCATGTTTTAGTAGTATATATATATATATATATATATATATATATATATATATATATATATATATATATATATATATATATATATATCCACAAAATTAAAAGAATTAGACTATCAAGCTACGTTTATAAAATATATAGTTAGGAATATTACAATAGTTATAAACTAGTTAATATATATTAAATCTAATGTATACCAGCCAGATGTAGCGGTAAAGCTTTCTTCTGTGGTGACGGTAATTGCATCGAAGTTTCTTTGAGATGTAATGGCATAAAGAACTGTGCTGATGGACGTGATGAAAAAAATTGTGGTAAGTGTGTGATGATTTGTATTTTCACTTAGAATGGTTAAATTAGAATATAATACGATAATTATTTTCTTTCTAAAATTATGACAATTGAAAAGATTCTTTATAGTCTAGTACATATACTTAGGGCGCGTAAAAATGGGAATTTAAGAAGCTAAACATATACATAAATGAAATTGTTGGTGCACATCATTGATACATGCAAATATATGCACACACACACACGTTCACACACACACACTCACACATACACACACACACACACACACATATATATATATATATATATATATATACAGTGGCGTAGCGAGGTCGGGTGTCAGCGGTGCGGCACTTAATGGTGTCACCCCCCCCCAGAGGCATAGAAACCATTCCCAGGGACAAACTTTCAAATTTTCGATTTGCACCCCTCCCTCAAACTTTCGATTTGCACCCCCCCCCTCAAGTTTTCGATTTGCACCCCCCCTCGAGTTTTCGATTTGCACCCCCCACCCTCAAACTTTCGATTTGCACCCCCCCCCCCTCGATTTTTTCTCTATATATTTTGCTATTTTTTGCCTTGGTGTCACCCCCCTAAATGGTGTCACCCGGTGCGGTCCGCATCCCCCCCCTCCCTCGCTACGCCCCTGTATATATATATATACATATATATATATATATATATGTATATATATATATATATATATATATATATATATATATATATATATATATATATATAATCAGATTTTATTAAAATACTCGTACAATATAAGTGCGTCGTGATATATACCTAAATATTTATGCTGCGCTTACCAATCTCCAGTATGATGTTCGCACTGTGTTGAAAGAAAAAAGATGTGTAGGACACATTGATATATTTTAAAATGTCATTTAATTTCTACACCAGAGACATGTAAAGGTGATTCTTTCGGCTGTGATGGTTTTTGCATAAACAAAAAACGTTTATGTAACGGAAAAAACGAGTGTCGTGACGGATTCGATGAACATAATTGTAGTAAGTGTGTACGGTATATGTTGTCATGCATTATGTTTAAATCATAATCTGGTAATTTATTGTTCGCATAATATGAATAATAATTACTTAAAATAAGTGTATTAGAATTATTTGCATTCCGACTGTCTTATGGTCATTTTGGTCTTATTAAAATAGGAAAGTCTAATAAGTCGACAGTACACTTCAATACCGTAAAAAAATATGTTTATTCTGAAAATAAATAATACTCTCAGTACACACACACACACATACACACCTACACACCATTTACTTGTAAGGTGGAATACTATCAGATTGTATTATGTTATGGCATGCACACATTTAAATTCAGTACATCTTTATAAAAATCGTTATGTTTATCTACGATGCTATAAAAAATGATCTAATTAGTAATAAAACAGATAATATTAGTTTCCTTACCAGTTAAAGACAGTTAGAAATACTATGGACGTTTCGACCCAAGGTCTTCGTCGAAACGTCCATATTTTTGTACAAGTGTTTCATTTGTGAGGTAACTAACACTATCTGTTTTATTACTAATTGAATTAACTTCACTTCAGCTACTATTTTTTATTTATAAATGATCAAGTAGAAAACTTGAGTCAGGCTGAAATAGAAGTTTTATCTTCTTCTTCTTCTTCGTTCCTTTAATTTAGTTGTAAAAAAAAGAACTATAAATATATTAATTATAGTTCACTGTTATCATATCCAGTTAACGATCATCTTTTTCCGTTATAGCCCAAGACATATTGGGCAGATGAAGTAGAGTTCATCTGCTTCATGGACCCCGGCATAAGAAGGGATAGGGTGGTCAGCTCGATGCCTAGCTGACTTATTCAATGACGTTCTACTGATTTCAACTCAGATTTGAACTAGAGTTTCTCGGGTCAGCAGTCTAGCTCTCTACCGCAAAGCGATGCCGTCCCATTTAATTATAACTAGTTATGCTTTATTAATACGAACATGATAACCTAACTCAAGACAAAGTCTGTTGGAACAAAGAATTTATTTCAACCAAATAAAAAAACAAGTTAATTAAATAGTCTAGTGACATTTTAAGCGCAATTTCCTTATGTTATCAAAAAATAGCTCTGACGTATAATGCTGGGGTGCGTTCAAGCTAGGAGAACGATTGGTTTGTAGGTGTTTATGTAATTTTAAAATTTGTAACCGAACGAAAGGATATTTTTGAAAACTTTCTTCGGCAATATTTTTCTAAATTATGGCAGAAATCGATTGGTCAATGTTTCAAGTCGCTAAGTGGTCTGGTTGCCGAGATACGGGCAAAAAACGTCATTTTTTCGAGGTTTTTTGGCTTTTCCGTGAAATCCAGGAAGGAATTCCGGAAATTTTTTTGGCCCACTATCATCCTTTGGAACTAGTCCTCGATATTGCTTCGTTGAAAAGGAGATACGACTTAAAGCTGCGAACACACATCCATCCATCCATTCCCAGAAAAGACGATTCTCCAGAACGGAAATTGCGCTAATAAGACTATTAAGTTACGTTTATAAATTATATAGTTGTTAACAGAAATATTACTATAGTAAACCTAGATAATATATGTTAAATCTAATGTATACCAGCCAGATGTAGAGATAAATCTTTCTCCTGTGGTAACGGTCAATGCATCCAACGTCATTTGAGATGTAATGGCTTCAAGGAGTGCTCTGACGGACGTGACGAAATAAATTGTAGTAAGTGTGTGATGATTTGTATTTTCACTTAGAATGGTTAGATTAGAATATAATACGATTTTTATTTTCTTTCTAAAATTATGACAACTGAAAAGATTGTTTATTGTCTGATATATATATATATATATATATATATATATATATATATATATATATATATATTTAGGGCGCGTGAAAATGGGAATTTAAGAAGCTAAACATGTACATAAATAGAATTCGTGGTTCACATCATTGATACATGCACATATATGCACACACACACACACACGATTACACACTCACAGACATATGTATATATATATATTTATATATATATATAATATATATATATATATATATATATATATATATATATATATATTTATATATATATATATATATATATATATATATATATATATATGTTTGTGTGTACATATATATATGCTAGCTGCATACCCGTGCTCCGCCACGGCAAATCTTTTTTAAATGTACCGACTTTGGAACAGAACAGAACAAAACAAACAAAAACACAACACAAAAACAAAAACAAACAAAACACAACCACAACCACAACACAACCACACCATAACCACTACACAACCACAACCAAAACCAAAACCACAATCACAACCACATCACAACCAAAACACAACCACAAAACAACCCCAACAAAACCACACAACCACAACACAACCACAACACAACTACAACATTAGTATCACCACCGAACAACGCGCTTTCTTAGTCGTCCGCGCCCAATAGAGCCTTTACAACATAAAAATAAGACTATTCAGTTACGTTTATAAAGTATATAATTAGTTAACAGAAATATAACAATAGTTAACCTAGATAATATATATTAAATCTAATGTATACCAGCCAGATGTAATGGTAAAGCTTTCTTCTGTGGCGACGGTCTTTGCATCCATCGTCCATTTAGATGTAATGGCATCCAGGAGTGCCCTGATGGACGTGATGAAAAAAAATGTGGTAAGTGTGTGATGTTTTGTATTTTCCACAACTTAACCACAACACAACCACAACCACAAAACTACCACAACACAAACACAACACAACCACAACACAACACAACCACAACACAACACAACCACAACACAATCCCAACACAACCGTAACACAACCGTAACACAACCACAACACAACCACAACACAACCACAACACAACCACAACACAACCACAACACAACCACAACACAATTACAACACAACCACAACACAACCACAACACAACCACAACACAACCACAACACAACCACAACACAACCACAACACATCCACAAAACATCCACAACACAACCACAACATTAGAATCACCACCGAACAACACGCTTTCCTGGATGTCCGCGCCCAAAGAGAGCCTTTCCAGCATAAAAAAATTAAGTCACATAAATAAATCTTACTTCATAACTTACAATAAAACTATGCGATGCAAATAAATGTTCGGCAAGTGGTGTTTTTATCCATTTGTAATTACTTAAACTTTTTTATAATAGAATAGAATCTCGTAAAAAAAAAAGAATTGCACACCAAGTGAAAAGTTTCCCTTTCAAACCTGACGGTCTACGGGGCAAGTGAAGTAGAGTTCACTTGTTTCTGTGAACTCGGCATATGAAGAGATAGTGTGGTCGGCACTATGCCCAGCCGCCTTTAAATCCCTAACAGGAGGTAGGTACCCATCAGAGTTGGGTGGACTCAGGGACGGTCTACTGACTTGAACCCGGATTCGAACTCGAGACTAACGGGTTAGCAGTCCAGCTCTCTACCGCTAGACCACTCCGTCCCACACCAAGAGAACGCCTAATAAAATGTGTATAAAAGTGCGGGATGTTATTTGTACTTTATACAATTACATGCGTTTTTTGAGAAATCGGAAATAGCGTAAATTAGTACTTCCGGTCAACGGAAATTACTCAAAATTTAACAGTAGGTAGCGAATTAGATCTTTTACTTCACTTGTGAAATTTCATTTATCTGTCTGAAATAGTACTCAAGTTATAGGCTTTTGAAAAATTCAAAGTAGAAAAAGTACCACTTCCGGTTATCGGAAATCGCTCAAAAGTTGATCAGTATCTACGATTTTGATATATATATATACTTATATACTTATATATTAACTTTCATCAACCTAGCTGTAACGGTACTCAAGTTATCGTGTTTACAAACAGACACACAGACAGACACACAGACATACGGACAAGATTGCAAAATTATGTTTTTCCGTATCAGTGAGGTGTGAAACGTCGAGATTTGTAAAAATCTCGATTTTTTTTTGCACGATTACAAGACTTTTTCTATACGAGAAAGTAAAAATAACTAAAATTATTGATTAGTTAAATTTATTATTAAATTACCTCTTTTGCAAAAATTACAAAAAAAAGTTCAATTAACTAGTTTTTTAGACCTACTGTTATAATAATGTATCCACACTTTTTCTAGGAGAATAAACGAAAATGATGTTTGACATATATCCTTTTAAGATATTTTAGCAATGTGCGTGTATTTAATATTTTCTTTACGTTATGCAAAATACTAAAAACAGTGGCAACTATAAAATAACTTTTTGTCGTTATATAAACCAACCCTACACTATTACATATAATAAGACAATGCGATGCACTGAAAAGCACTGCATGGTGCGACGTTTACTTTTAAGATTCCAAAATCTATAGAGATGACAGAAGGATGGACTGACACACTACAAGCCCACTAATTAATACTAATAGTTTTGCTGTCTGTCTATCTATGTATCACTGTATGTATCTGACAAGAACGCTATATAGAAAACACAAGCAAATTAAAAACATGCATAGTGAAACGAAAATGAAACCTGACGTCACATTGGAGCAAATAATAGAAAATAGTATCAACCCGGAGAGTGCACACAGTAATATGACGTCATTGATTCTCGAGTAAACATTGAATATAAAGGCAATTTTGTCTAATCTAAGTGGTTTTCGTGAAGAGTTTCATTCATACAATTCTTACAATTCTTCGGGTAGGAGCGAAGCCCATTCCCCGCGTAAGAACATCTAAGCCGACCCCCCCCCCCCCCCCATCGAACTCAAAAGAAATTTCTTCATCGATACTCTATAATAAAATTACCGTCTAATTAATGTGTCTAATCTAACTAATCTAAAAAGGGGGGGAACTTTTTCTAATCTAAAAAGCGAGCACAGTTTTTTTCATGCATCTCTTCCCCGCCCAGGTTCTTCCTTTAGTTTGTATGATCTACAAATGCGACCAGTGTTTCTTTCAGACTTTTTCCTCCCCGGCGAGGTATGGGGGTACTTGATTTTTTTGGGAGGGGGGGGGGGGCGGAGGTAGAATTTTCTGGGAGGGGGCGGACACTGGAAAAAGTATATAATTATATTTCGTTGAATGGGACGGTAGACATGTTTTGGGGTGTGTGTGGGGGGGGGGGGGCGGAGCCCCCTCCTTCCAAGTAGATGTGCCTGAAAGAAACTCTAAATGCGACTTTTGTCATGAATGAGATTAGGTGCATGGTTTAGGGATATGCCTATGACTATATTTTGTATAAATTAAAGCACCGATTCTGGATAAAAATCCGTTTTCAATGTCATTTTTCGTTTCCGGTTAAATTGAATTAAGGTGGTGATTTTGGTTTTGGTTTTAGTTTAGAGAAAATAGACAGCACTATCAACCTAGCGCCCGTTGTATCCTTCCTCAACGGGCCATTTTTATAGATACAAATAAAGAACAAATGATCGTGTTTATTATGCATTCTAGTTAGACAATCACAGACGTGCACACACACACACACACACACACACATGAACACACTCGAAGATATAGGCCTATATATATATATATATATATATATATATATATATATATATATATATATATATATATATATATATATATATATATATATGTATATATATATATATATATATATAAACAGCAAACAAATTTAAAACGTTACACTCCGTGTTTCAGGTGAGGTAGAGTTGACCTGTTTTAGTGACCTCGGCATATGAAGAGTCAGTGTATCGATAACTATTCTTTACCTTTCCTTTCAGGATCCGAACTCGAGGGTTCTATAATTTCAGTCAGTCAGTAACAATATTTATTCAGACCAACAAAAGATCAGTTTATTCTTTTGAGATACCAGCCTCTCTCAGCAGACCAGCTCCCTCAACAGATCAGCCTCTCTCAACACACCAATCTTACCATATAAGAGATAAGCCTCTCTCAAATGACTAGTATAAACGTAAAACAGACCTCTCAAAAAACAAGTCATTTTCAACAGACCAGCGCCACGCAAAAGACCAGCTCTTCGCAACAGACCAGTCTTACCAAAAAAACTGATAGCCTCTCTCAACTGACAGGTCTTAACATAAGCTAGACCAGCCTCTATTAACACTTAATTCTTACCGTACATGCGACCAGTCTTTATCAACTGAATAGTTTTACCATACACAAGATCAGTCTTATCTGACTAGTCTTAATAAAGAACAGACCAGCCTCTCTTAACAGACTAGAGGTCTTACATTACAAGATACATGCCTCTCTCAACAGACGTTTTGACGCCGCACGCGAAACCACGTACCTTGAACTAAACGAACGATCGTGGCTGAGACAAAAGTTCTTGTTTCAAAACAGCTGAGTTTTCGCACGCACAGATAGACGGTTTGGCAGCGAGTTTTAGATCGAGCAAACCGGCTATCTTTTAAACCTGCATAGTGTTTCTTTGCACATATTTTAAAAAAGTTTCATTTGAGCGATCGAGACTGAGTAATCAGTTTTCTCTGTCCCTTTTAAATTTTATATTTTCGGAGTTGGACGGTTTGCGACAGAGACCATCGATTTATATATATATATATATATATATATATATATATATATATATATATATATATATATATATATATATATATATATATATATATAAAGACAAATGAAAGTCAATATTATGCACTCAAGTTATATATTTCAGATAGCGTATTATCGTCAGAGTATTTAAAAACACAACTTTAAATTAATTTTGGTCGTGATATTTATCTTTTTGCTTTATTTGCTATAATATACATCATCTGGCAAAACACTTAAGTAAGTCTGAATTGGCAGTTTTTTATGTGTGCATCTTTTTTTGGAGACATATTGAAATTTCGCACCGAATTTGACTATTCATAAATAGATGAATGAAAATACTCTTGTATTCCAAAGTTTTATTCTCATTACAATGTGACTGTCTAAAGTTAGTACAAGTTAAAGAATCAAGAATAACTTGTCAAACAAATTGAAATATATCAAAGTAGGGAATGGTATTTACAATGTGCTTAAAACCAAACATATTTAAGTTTTATAAATGGCTGCATACATTTTTTGGACATTTAATGATACTTTTTTTTCTTTTAAAGTAATCACTTGGAGTCCATCTTTTAAATTGACAATTAATTCTATGATATGTCTTATAAAAGATGAAATGATACGAATAAAAATCTTGGCTTAATTTTTTTTTCCAGAAAGTTGCAACGGTAACGCTTTTCACTGTGGAAGTAAACCTCGTTGTATTATTCAAAGTAAAAAATGTGACGGCAAAGATGACTGTGAAAACAACCAAGATGAAAGCTACTGTCGTAAGTGCGACTGATATGTTTTCGTAATTCACCAGGAGTCTAGGGAAAAGGTGCAAACGATTCATTAAGTAATAAGCGGCTTTTGGTAGACTTATTTGACTGATGCCTATCATATGTGTGTAACGAACCGTATTATCAGATAATGACAGGCGTTTGTACGTTTAACTTTAGAATTAAGAAACGTGTACGTGTGTCTGCATTGAGTGTAACGTATACTTGTACTCTTACTTGTACCCATACTTGTGCTTGTCCTTGTCCTTGTCCTTGTCCTCAGTGTTTCTTCCAGACTTTTTTCTCCGGGGGGGCACTTGAAATTTTTTTGGGGGTGGGTAGACTTTCTTCGAGGGGGAGGACACTGTTAAAAGTATATATTTTCTATATAAATTATATAAATTTAATTTCGTTGGGGGGGGGGGCGGTAGAGGAGATGCCTGGAAGAAACTCTGCTTGTTCTTGTCCTTGTCATATTGTCTCCCGATAAATTGGCCCCCGACATATTGGCTCCAGACAAATTAATCGTATGACCACTAGTGGCATAAAAGTAGCTATTTTGTCATACCTCCACTACCACTATAACATCTTTTAAATGCCTGAATTAAATTGTTTTTCATGATCCAACATCAATTCACAAACAAATGGAGCCCTTAACAGCTAAATTCCAGCAAAATGTTGATAATGTTTAATTTACAACAGTAAATATTTTTTGCTCTAAAGCGAGCACCGAAGTGTAAATGTATGATACACATTATGTTTACAAAAATAACGGCATTTTGTTTTCATAACCTACTAGCATACAGCAGGTAGGAATGTACATGGTGGACCCCTATCCCCACACACTGAGTTGGAACATTCTATAACCGACTCATTTATGGAAGTCATATATATATAGATGACCCTTAAATTAAAACATACTATTTCATATAATAGATAAACTATTATTAAAAAAAGGCCTGCCGAGCAAGAGATGCATAAACTGTATTACTCAAAAGTGTTGGATCAGCTTACTCTAAAGAATATTGATGAAGGGTTCCCACTGGCACTGGCAAGTGTTATATTCAATAGGACCGTTTTGCCAGGAGACAGTCTCTACGGAAACCGTATTGTCAGTGGTCCTTTTGTCGTGAGCCAAATTGACACGAGCCTATATTTCGCTAGCAAAAATGACGGGAGCCTATTTGTCGGAAGCCTATATGACGGGGTCCATATGTCGATAGCCCTTTTGACGTGGTCGATTTAACGGGTCTCTTGCAGGGATCGTATTGACGGGACTGTTTTGTCATTGGCCGTTTTGACGCCGCACGAAAAACCACGTTTTTGGACAAAACGAACGATATATATATATATGTATATATATATATATATATATATATATATATATATATGTATATATATATATATATATATATATATATATATATATATATATATATATATATATATATATATATATATATATATATATATATATATATATATAGACGAAGTAAAATGAAAGTCAATAATATGCAATCAAACCAGGGAATGGCATTTAAAATGTACTTAAAACCAAACATATTTAAGTTTTATAAATAGCTGCTTAAATGTTTTGGACATTTAATGATACGTTTTTTTTTCCTTTTAAAGTAATCACTTGGAGTCTATCTTTAAAATTGATAAGTAATTCTATGATATGTTTTATAAAAGAAGAAATGATAAGAATTAAAATCTTGGCTTAATTCGTTTTCCAGAAAGTTGCAACGATAACGCTTTTCACTGTGGAAGTAACCATCGTTGTATTATTCAAAGTAAAAAATGTGACGGCAATGATGACTGTAAAAACAACCAAGATGAAAGCTACTGTCGTAAGTGCGACTGATATGTTTTCTTAATTCACCAGGAGTCTAGGGAAAAGGGGCAAAGGATTTATTAAGTAATAAGCGGCTTTCGGTACACTTATTTGACTAATGTACTTGTACTTGCACTTGCACTTGCACTTGCACTTGCACTTGCACTTGTACTTGTACTTGTACTTGTATTTGTACTTGTACTTGTACTTGTACTTGTATTTGTACTCGTACTTGTACTTGTACTCGTACTTGTACTCGTACTCGTACTTGTACTTGTACTTGTACTTGTACTTGTACTCGTACTTGTACTCGTACTTGTACTTGTACTTGTACTTGTACTTGTACTTGTACTTGTACTTGTACTTGTACTTGTACTTGTACTTGTACTTGTACTTGTACTTGTACTTGTACTTGTACTTGTACTTGTACTTGTACTTGTACTTGTACTTGTACTTGTACTTGTACTTGTACTTGTACTTGTACTTGTACTTGTACTTGTACTTGTACTTGTACTTGTACTTGTACTTGTACTTGTACTTGTACTTGTACTTGTACTTGTACTTGTACTTGTACTTGTACTTGTACTTGTACTTGTACACCTTTTACTGATTGTACTTCTCGTGTTACTTGCACAACTACTTCATCTACTGCTTGTATATGTACTAGTTGTACTTGCATTACATCTTGCCCTACTAGTATGATGCTGGATTAATTCGGTTTCAACTTTGCCTTAATAGCAGGTAAACCGGCCATTTGCCTATGGAAGGTGTGCCCCTTACCCGACTGGTTAGTAGATGGATGAACCGGGGTGGCAGAGCCACACAGCGTTGTGTCGCGTGACTACAGAGCCACATCTTCACATTCTATGTGTATTAATGTATATCATATCGTAACATTCTTTGTGTATTTATGTATATCACATCTTCACATTCTATGTGATAGACAAGAGGAAAAAAGTACACTAAAAGTGGTCAGATCTGTTTTTACGATGCGCGAACAATTTTATTTTAAAATATCATTTTAATGAAGCCAATTCACAAAAGTTATACAGTAATCATATTTCCGTTTGTTTATAGCATGCTTTTCTTTTTCTTTATGGTTTTTTTTTCGTTTGTTTTAATCAGTTTGTCTAAGTATTTTATTTTTGCTAATCTGGTGGTATTGTTTGTTCCCCAATGTGAGTAATACGTACCGTTTTATAATTGTATTTTTAAAATTATTGAATCATACTTTTCAAAAATTAAATATTAAAAACATTCCTTCTTTTTCCAATTGAAAATAAAGATGGCTTCAACATAAAAATAATCAGTTTCGTCTTGAAATTTAATTTTTTTTCCTCAAGGGGTACTAATTACCGTATTTCTCTTACACTTACACTTACACTTACACTTACACTTACACTTACACTTACACTTACACTTACACTTACACTTACACTTACACTTACACTTACACTTACACTTACACTTACACTTACACTTACACTTACACTTACACTTACACTTACACTTACACTTACACTTACACTTACACTTACACTTACACTTACACTTACACTTACACTTACACTTACACTTACACTTACACTTACACTTACACTTACACTTACACTTACACTTACACTTACACTTACACTTACACTTACACTTACACTTACACTTACACTTACACTTACACTTACACTTACACTTACACTTACACTTACACTTACACTTACACTTACACTTACACTTACACTTACACTTACACTTACACTTACACTTACACTTACACTTACACTTACACTTACACTTACACTTACACTTACACTTACACTTACACTTACACTTACACTTACACTTACACTTACACTTACACTTACACTTACACTTACACTTACACTCACACTCACACTCACACTCACACTCACACTCACACTCACACTCACACTTACACTTACACTTACACTTACACTTACACTTACACTTACACTTACACTTACACTTACACTTACACTTACACTTACACTTACACTTACACTTACACTTACACTTACACTTACACTTACACTTACACTTACACTTACACTTACACTTACACTTACACTTACACTTACACTTACACTTACACTTACACTTACACTTACACTTACACTTACACTTACACTTACACTTACACCTACACTTACACTTACACTTACACTCACACTCACACTCACACTCACACTTACACTTACACTTACACTTACACTTACACTTACACTTACACTTACACTTACACTTACACTTACACTTACACTTACACTTACACTTACACTTACACTTACACTTACACTTACACTTACACTTACACTTACACTTACACTTACACTTACACTTACACTTACACGTACACGTACACGTACACTTACACTTACACTTACACTTACACTCACACTCACACTCACACATACGCATACGCATACGCATACGCATACGCATACGCATACGCATACGCATACGCATACGCATACGCATACGCATACGCATACGCATACGCATACACATACGCATACGCATACGCATACACATACGCATACACATACGCATACACATACACATACACATACACATACACATACACATACACATAAATTTCATATATAAGTATATTATCAAAATCGTAGATCCTGATCAACTCTTGAGCGATTTCTGAAGTGGTACTTTTTCTACTTTGAATTTTTCAAAAGCCTATAAGTTGCTTACTATTTTAGATAGATGCATGAAATTTCTCACGTAAGTAAAAGATCTAATTCTCTACCTTCTGTTTTCCGATTTCTTAAAAAACGCATGTAAATTTTATAAAGTACTATACACATTTTATTAGGCGTTCACTTGGTGTGGGACGGAGTGGTCTAGCGGTAGAGAGCTGGACTGCTAACCCGTTAGTCTCGAGTACGAATCCGAGTTCAAGTCAGTAGACCGTCCCTGAGTCCACCCAACTCTGATGGATACCTTACTCCTGTTAGGGAAAGTAAAGCCGGCTGGGTATAGTGCTGACCACACTATCTCTTCATATGCCGAGGTCACAGAAACAAGTGAACTCTACTACACTTGCCCCATAGACCGTCAGGTTTGAAAGGGAAACTTTTCATTTGGTGTGCAATTCTTTTTTGTACGAGATTCTATTCTATTATAAAAAGTTTAAGTAATTAAAAATGGATAACAAATATTGTCTATGTCCTGAGTTGCCATCCCTCGTAATTTTATATTAGAATATTCGAGAAAGTTTAGGGGAGATCACTCCCGGTTTATTTGTAATATACTGTTCTGTAACAAGTGTTTGACTCCCTCCCCCTGACATTTAAGTGCTTCTTCCACCCCCCCCCCCCAACCCCTTAAGTTTTAAGTGCCTCCATAGGACACAATTTCTGAAATAAACACTGTATACAATTCAATGTGTGTTAACAACAATCTTATTCAGCTTGAGGCAATAGTGCTAGCACAGATTTGTTGTGGAACCAGTTATAGGCGGTATATATTTATTCGTTTTTAACATGGCATGTTTATTATTAAAAAATACAAGTACTCTCACAAATATCCCGATACGTCATGCTCATTTCAATGACCGTTGTTTGTAAATAAGTGAGGTAAAGAATCTGGATTGTAAGTTTAAAAACTCCCAGGCGCTGTAAATATTTAGTTTGTTCAGAAATCTCGACAAAATCTGAACTAAACATATGCAATAAGTGTTATTTTTATTGTGCAAGTAATAATAAATCTCTTTATTGCAATTTATCTGATCTTAATTAAGTCATAGCATGTATTGCTGCCATAAATTGCTAAACAAACCTTTGTAAAATATTAAATCGATTTCGCTTTAATATTATTTTAATATTACTCACTACTTATTCATTTCTTTGATTTTTGTATTTGTTATCCCGCTTTGAAATTCAATGTTTAAAAAAATTGAAAGAAATTTATGGTCAAAGGGAAGCAACCAAGAAAATAGGTCATAATTTAGATTAACCGTGATTGTCTCGCTTTTAGAAAAAAAATTGTTGTGGGAAAATATTATTTTATTTATTTTATAAATCATACTTTATACGTGATTAAGAGCATTAATTTAATTGTTGATAATCTCGTACTTTTTAACTTCATAATTATAAATATTACTAATAGTATATAGTACTGTTAATTTCAAAATAACTTTAAAACAAACATTAAGCGAGGTAACCTAGGCTGAATTACGAAGTGAAACAGTTTCATGTTTATTCCCCTTTGACAATATACATTTGATTTTTAAAATTAATCTTTTTAAAATTCAAAGCAGGATGATTCATATTAAATTTACGAAGGTTTAAATGAAAACATGACAATTCTTCTTGGAATTTTTTTCAGAATTAAGATTTTTTGTAAAGGTAGGCCTACCTAATTAACAAAACGTAACCATAATGTTTAGAAAAGTAAAAACTCTCAAATTCAATAAATTTGAGTGTGCATGTGTGTGTGTGTGTATGTGTATGTGTGTGGAGGGTGGGTATAGGCTGATTTGTAACGTTATTTAGTGGTAGTCGTCCAGCTTTCTTCGATGTGTGAGGATGAAAGAAGGTAAAAATCAACCAGAAAAGCGTAACGTCATTTATTAATGACCCCTTTGTTTGGGAAAATTATTCGTTTTGAAATGTTAACAAGAACTAAATCAATGATATTATTTGAAATGTGCTTTAGATAAATCTTTATGATTCTTCTGATATTGAGCCAATGCTACGTAACGACGAGAATCCACATATAAATATGTAAGTGTAACAAACAAAATATGCAGTAGCTTATAACTGCGTGATGGGGTAGATAAGCGTATGATCCCAAACATTTCGAGTTCAAGGGATATTGTTGAGCACATCATCCTTTTAGATGCCAAGTTCAAACAACATACGAACCCCACTTCATGTTCCCTACTGATGGATAATCCTATAAAGGGGATTTATTTTAATCAAATAAGAACCATGTAAAATATATTTCTCAGTTAGGTCACACTATTCTGTCGCAGGTTGCAAAAGATTTTTACTTTAATATCATAGTTTATAAAACTAGAAAAAGTGACCATGAATTAGGAATTTGAATAGTTTTGAGAAGATATAGAATACTTATCCTTTGCTGGTGGAAAAGCCGTTAAAAATTTGATATTTGTTATAACACAAACTATAATGTGGTTTCTGTAAGATAAAATAAGAACGAACGATAAACACAATATAATGTAACAATGCACTTTATACACGTAATATTGTCCTCACATTTAACATCACAATTGTATTCTACATTTACCTACTCTGGATTAGTTGGGTTTATCAGTACTTTGCTACCATGTTTAATTGATTCGTAAATTTAGAAATGCACCCAATTTACTGCTTTTTAAATTCGCAAAGATAACGATAAATATCTGGCTCCTACAGCTGTCGATTATTTTCTTTGTGATAAAGATCTTTCAAAATACGGTTATTTGTAATTACAGGCTGGGCTAATTATTTATGACTCCGTAATTGGGAAACAGTAGCCCTTTGTTTATAAGTAGTTTATACGTTGTTATGACAACAGTTGTAAACAGCTACCAGACCCGTTTGTGTATTGCAAAATGCGCAATACACGTGTGTTCTTTTGTTTTTCTCCAGTGTGTTTGACTGAAATGAATAATCCGCGCTTTTAATGTTTTGGTAGTTCCTTGCGTAAACAATTGGGATTTGTAAAAGAAAACACCAAAAAAGCAAGAAAACAAAAACAGCAGAGAGAGATAGTGCGAACCAATTAGGAACGATACAAGTTTATAACGAGAATAGTACAAAAACATTTTTCGGCATACGGATTACAATACAAATTGGGATAGAAATTCCGAATACAATCGGGAAGCAGATAAATTAATATTGGTAAACCTGCGAATAGGTATGTAGACACTTTGTCTTGACGGTATAATATATACTTTCTCCTCTGTTAGGTTGCAAACATAAGTGTGTATTCATGTTCTTCACTGTAATCTATGTTTAATCCTACAATTATAACTTCGGTATTATACGTGATACCCAAAAGGGGTTTCCTCCTACACAATTAACGTTTTACAAGCATACGGCTCGTTGACTCCGACTTATGTATGCTTTTCTTTCTGGATCTGCTTCTATAGCATTTGTCAAAAAAAAAACCATTGCGCAAGGCAGCAGTTTTTCAATTTGAGTTGTTTATGCGAGATGCGTTATTGATCTCATCTAACTGAGGTCAGAACTCAGGAGTAGGCGATCTTCAGCCCGATAACGCCGTCATTCAATCCAACTAGGCAAAGATCAGTAACACTTCAACATTTTAACTTGATATCACCCTGCTCT